TATATTTCTATAAAATTATTTTCATACTTGCTTATAAAAAATATTTTTAAATAATTTTTTATAGCACTTTAACCAGGGTAGCCCCCAGCCCGCCACCTTTAGCACGTGATTCCACAAATATTACTATATTAACACGCTTTGTGACCTTAGAAAATTTTGTTCCATCATCTTAAAGAATATAATGCTAAGTTATAGGCGAAAAACATGTCCGCCATTACTTTCCGTGCTGACTGTATCATGATATTTTTTCTTATATTAATCTTGAATTTGATTGGTGGATTGATGATCTCGCAATTTTATTGGTCCAATTTTTTTAAATTATAAGTTAAAAATAACGATAATATTAAATTAATTAAATATAGAATATAATAATAATAATTATTATATAAAGAATAATTAATAAAAATAAATATTTAGTTAAATAATTTGATCATTACTAAAAAATTTATTATAGCTCACTAAGATTAAAAATCTAATTATGATATTCTGGATATTTTTTGCAAAATTTTGTCAATCCTTCTATAGCATTTCATGTAACTTTCAATAAAGTTTGGGATTTAATTAGAAAATAAAGCTAGATCATGTCATTTGATTACGTTGGATTGTTAATAAAAAAGTTAGATTTATTCAGAATATTTAAACTGATGCTTGGGATGCAATAGCGGCAAGAAACTGTCAGTGATGCATCAAAAAGTGCAGCTTGAGGCGAAACTAATGCGCAAAATTTCTCAAATATATGCTTATGGTGATGACATAAAATTTCTATCGAAAAATTGAATGTGGCACAGCTATGAAACGAAAATAACACAAAGATATTCATGAAGCTCTTTGTAGTGCTTTGCAAACATTTCAAAGTAGGGAATTTTTATTTGTAACTTGAAGAAATTAATAAATACACATAAAACTTTGCTGCAGTTTCCGTAGGATAAAGATTCTTAAAATAATGTAAACAATTTTTGAATTCTGTATAATATTAGTTAAATTTTAAGCTATTATCGTTTTAAAGCGTTTTATCCGGATTCGTTATTGCATGTACATGTATCGGTATTATAAATTCATTCAATCATAGTAAAATTATGTTGTATTACTTTTCGCCATATTATTATTTATTACACAAACGGATCGACTTGACTTCTCATTATCGATGTCTATTCTACATGTCGATGTATCTTTTGTTATTCCAAATACGTATACTCAAAGAATACAGTTTGCTAATTTTACATACATAATATAGTATTTATAAAGAACTGTTCATATAAAGCTAATTGTTAAGTTACTAAATTAAAGTAAAAAAAAAATAATATCATGTCTGAAAACTCAAGCGAGCCATTTCCTTCGCATTCTCGATCGTCTTCCCTTTTGAATTCTTCATCGCCTTTTATGAACTTGCAAAACCTGCCACAAACAGCACAATATAATGTAGAAAATACTTCGAACAAAGATATCAGAGTTGTTGTCGGTGTGGGTAAGAAATCTTTGTCTTTTTAAGTAAAGTTAATTTTTATTATTTTTTTAAGATTTTAATTTTATGTTATTATTTTTTTTTAGATTTTGGGACCACCTTTTCTGGTAAATATTTCAAAATCTTGAAAATTTTTGCCTTATAAAATTATAACTTAAAATATTTCAGGATTTGCCTACGCTTATAAATCAAATCCAAGTGAAGTAGTCACTAATGACGTATGGTAGGTTATGAAATCTTTGTTCTTTTGAATACTTTAATTTGACTCAAACAATTTACAATTTAAACATATAGGCCTGGGCAAACTGGACAATTCAAAACAAATACCGCCCTTTTATATGATGATTCATTTTCAGTAATAGAATGGTATTTTTATTTTTATTCAGTTCAAAATTTCTCGAGATAATCGTAAATTTACATTATTGTTATTTCAAGGGGTTATCCCGCACTGGCTCAAGAACCACAAAAAAAATCAAAAGGTGCAAACAAAATAAGGGAATTGATGAAACCTGTGGAATTGTTCAAGTTATATCTTGGCAATTTGGATCCAGATGAAGAACCCCCATTGCCCGAAGGTTTGGACTGGAGAAAAGCCATTACTGATTACCTAAGATGTCTGAACAAAGTATACATTCTTTATTATAAATGTAATAACATTATCATCTCTAACAATTGATTTAAAAAACGTAATTTTTTTATGCCTTAGCTGATAGGAGAAACTATCACAACACGGTGGCCTGGACTTCATTTTCCGAGCAATGTTTTATTTGTTATGGCGGTTCCTGCTGAATGGTATTTTGTAGTCTAGCTAACAAATTTTTAATTTGACTCCGATAAATTAATATTTCATTACTTGTTCTTAATTGTATATTATAGGACTGATGAGTCAAAGGGCTTATTACGTAAATTGGCATATGATGCTGGAATGCTTGAAGAACTGAATTCGGGGAATTTGGAATTTACTACAGAGCGTTAGTATTTGCGATTTAATGCGACGACGATCCAAAAATGGTTTCATATTAAATTTTTAATTTTGATTTTGACAGCCGAAGCAGCTGCTATACACTGCATTCGAATCCTTAATGAGCACGCATTAACTGTTGGAGGTATTTCATCATACTAATGATTTTAATAAGTCTCTGTAAAAAATATTAATGGTAATCTTAAATCAGCGCCATTCATGATTGTTGACTGTGGTGGAGGCACAGTCGACTTAACAACGAGGGCAGTTCTACCAGATCGACGACTAAGCGAAATAACCATACGAGCAGGAGACTTTTGTGGTTCTTCGTTCGTTGATAAAAATTTCTTAAAATATGTGGCAAAAAAAGTAGGCATAGAAGCAATGATTAGTTTACGGGACAATAATTACGGTCAGCTACAATATCTAGTACAACAATTTTGTTCACGAATTAAACATTCATTTAATGGCAACCCAGACGAATATATGACAAAAGATATCGATTTGGAGAGAACTTGTCCGGCTATCATGAAATATGTGACTGGCGATGCATTGAAGAAAATGGAAGAGGATGAATGGTTGTTAGAATTAGATTTTGAGACTGTACGAGCGATGTTTGATCCTGTTATTGAGAAAATTCTTCATATGATTAGTCATCAGTTATCGGCTTGTGGTGGAAATTGTATGGCTATTTTTATGGTGGGTGGTTTTTCAGAAAATCATTATTTGACTTGGAGAGTGCGGCATGCGTTTGGTAGATTTGTTCCGACTATAGCGGTGCCTAAACATCCAATTGCAGCTGTTTGTCGTGGAGCATTGCAATATGGTAATATTCATGAGGATCTTGTTTACTTTACGATATCTTACTATATTATATTTAACCAGTGACTTTTGTATGCAGGACTTTACATGTCAACTATAGAAACACGTGTCCTTAAATGGACATATGGCACAGACTCATTTAGGCCTTGGACACCAGCTGATCCACCAGAACGTAGAACACCGACAGGATTCATCACAGTATTTCGACCAATAGCACATCGAGGAACTCAAGTGGCCGTCAACCAACGATTCACGTATGAAGCAACACCGATACTTCGAGATCAATCAATGATGACATTCAACGTCTACGTCACCCCATTCCACAATGCTTATTTCTGTGATGACTATGGAGTCAAATTATTGGGTCGACTATCGGTTCAGCTTCCTCCTCTTCCCATTGAATATCAACAAAATCGGGTTATTGATTTCTCGTTGTGCTTTGGTAAGATGGAAATCACAGCTATAGCGACGAATCGACAGACTGGTGAAGTTTACCAGAGTAGTTTTGATTTGGACATTTAGAAATTTACATTGTTAATTAATACTTTAATTTTATTACTATAATTTATTTGGTTCATTAATTTAGATTGTTCTTTGTGTGTGTACTAAAATTATTACATATACTTGTATTTTTTACATAGAATTTAAAAAAATACACCCTATAGAAAAAATATCTATTTTCCAGCCGTAAAGGAACTTTTTTTTAATCTCGATGAGATGGTGACATGGTGACACCTTGTTATCGTTATCGTTATGCCACAAATTATTAATATGCATGCATAGTGAATTTCAAACAATTGAGTGCATATTGTTCTCGTTATTTACAGTATTAATGGTGCCAAGTACATGTACTTAATTTATCAATAGAAAACCAAAAGCGGAAACTGTAATTATTTGTGCTTCAGATATAACGATAAGTTAATGAAAAATGTAACTTGTCATTTAGGCATGTATTAACTACATGTGCTCACGCAACTACATGTACATATATTAATAACATTTTATAGAAATTTCATGTCGTTACATAACTCGTTGAGAATCGACGTCAATACAAATTCATTTTTAAATTAAACTCGTCTTCTCATTTATACGTATAACTAAAATATGAATCCAAAAGACAAAAATTTATTATCATCCTCATCTGTATCCTCTATTTCGTCTTTATCAACAGAATCTATATCTCCAGTCTCTCAGGACAATGATGAACCTGTCATCGTTAAAGAACTCTTAAATATATTCAATGAAATGAGTGATAATTACGAAGATGACAGAATAATTGCAATCAGAATTCGAAAATATTTACTTGACAATGATATTCATCAGAATGAATTTTTTGAAATGCTATCGAGATCCCAAAACACACCAAGAAGTATTTCATTTTTGGCATTTTTGTATTGTCGGGGGATTGGAGTTGCCGAGAATAAAGAAAAAACTTTTGAGGTTTATCAAATTGCTGCAAATATGGACGATGCTTTAGCCCAAAATCAATTGGGTATGTCTATTGAATGACGCTGAGTTGTTAATGGGACGCTCCATTAGCAACCCTAACACTAATGAAAAATAAATATTTTTTGTATGCATATTACATGTACTGCTTATACAGGATGGTGCTATTACTATGGAATTGGAACTAAAGTTAACTATGATAAAGCATTTGAATGGTTTCAGAAGTCTGCAAAGACTTATGCGACGGGGCAAGGTAAATAATTTGATACTTTTTTAAATTTCATAGTATCTCTATGGTTTTTATTTCATTTAATCCGTAAATTTAAGGATGGCTTGGAGTATGCTATTCAAGAGGGCATGGAGTAAAACAAGACTATGATGAAGCTTTTAAATGGTACAAAATGGCAGCTGATGCTGGTGACCAATGGGGAGCATTCCACGTCGGGCATTATTATAGAGAAGGAATAGCTGTAGCCAACCCCAACCAAAAAGAAGCCGTAGCTTATTACCGAAAATCTGCAGAGAAACAAAACATCACTGGTCAATACTGGCTCGGATACTGTTACACGGAAGGAATAGGTGTCGAAAAGGATGAGAAACAAGGATTCGACTGGTTCAAAGTTGCTGCAGATCAGGGAAGCGGGTTTTGTCAGTTTCAGGTTGGATGTTGTTACCGTGATGGAATTGGAGTTAAAAAAGATTGCAGAAAAGCATCGTATTGGTTCCAACTTGCTGCGAATGAAGAACCAACTTTTTATTATTTGGGGGATTTTTATCAAACAGGAACTGGGGTAGTGTGTGATATTCATCGTGCATTGCGATTGCTACGAAAAGCAAAGGAAAGCGGTGATCATTCTTCATTTTCGAGAATTTGCATGATTTTTAAGTGTGATATATAATTCAATGTATTTTTAATTAGAACACATAGCGCTGTATTAATAGGACACGCAGTATTTTACTTACAAATTACCAATATTAGGAATTTTTGTTAATCGGTGAATTAATTATTCTTTGAAAAGAATATTTTGATGCTTGTGTTTTGATTCATGCACATGAAAGGATCATCTCAAAGAAATAAAGATGAAAAAAATGATGATTGGCAAGCCCTAACATTCTAGCAAAATATTCACAATCAATCTTTAATATTTTTTTAATTAACGAGTCTCGACAGATTCAATAACTATAAGGGACTCCTTATAAAGGACAAAAGTTAGTGTAATACATACAATACAAGACATTGGTATAATAATTTGTCAATTTTCATCACTGGTTTCAGTGTCTATATCAAAAGTTGGCTGTTGTACTTTCGCCTAACGTGAACATTCTTAGTCTGAACCTTGAGTCATGCAAATATTCCAGTACCATTTAATACGTCAAAAATACATGTAAATGAAAAATAGAGATATGATCGAAAATAAGAAACCCCGAAAAAGACCATTTGAAAAGAAAATTAATAAAAAAAATGCATAATATTGCTTTCTCTATTAGAGCTTCAAACCATTTTTTCATTGAAAAAGTTCAAAAATAAAACCCTCCCTTTCAAATTCATAAGACATGAAGATAAGAAACGCCAAATTTTGAACTCCAAAATGAGTTGCTATACGGTCAGCTCCCGACATAGCGAAGATGTTCGAGCTATTAATGAAAATTTCACTATACCGAGAGGATATAAGATCTATTGTTTTTGAGCTCAACTTCACTATACAAGGCAAACTCGATAAGACTAAGGTCGGGGGCAGAGACAATTTATTCGGCTTATCGAGATCTTCGTTTTACTAAATTTCGCACAAAGCCGAATTTATATATAATAAAAAATTTGGTAAACCAGAAAAGCTTCGGCTTAATGCAATTTCGGCTTAGCGTGGCTTCGTCTTAACGAGTTTGCCTTGTATTGTGCGTTTAATTAGTCTTCACTATATCGAGAGTTAACTGTATTATATAAACGTATCGGTATTACATCGATATCCGATAACTATGTACTTTTTCAACTCTTATCAATCTAATCGTCCCATTGCTAATTCGAAAAGTATATGACAGAGTCTTGAACAAACTATATGGAATAAAACTTTTTAGTTAATGAAACAAGCTTTGTAAGACTCACTCGAATGGAGATGAATTTGCGCGATATTTGACTTTTATTTAGGGTTGAATTTCTATTCTTATTTCTTAAGAAGCATCTCTTAATAGATATTTTTAAACATTCTCAAGAATTCAAGGCTTCAACTATTAATCGATGATCATTTGTTTCAGCTAAAAACAAATTTTCAATGTCCCATCTTTTATACACCAATCCATTCAACAGCCCTGCCCACGATTTCTCAACTATCCTATGCGTGCTTCGAATCGCCATCAAAATCTTTTCCCGTTCATCAAATGGTATCATATCATCATGTTCGATAGCATACCGTAATGCGCATGCATGAAAAAATCCTTTGATCACGTCGATTGATTTAGCATTCACTGAGTACCATAACGTAATATGTTGTTTATGCCCCGGTAAAAGGATCCGAGGTCGAAAAAATGACTTTGAAGGCGATTGAGGTGGAGTGTAGAATTTCTCAAATAGGTGGTGTTCGGGAACATGTAATATGAAATATTCTTCTGGATGCAAGAATCCTTCATGTTGTATCGCTGATTTCAAGGCATCCGCGTATTCATCACGTGCATAATGCTGTAATGTCGGTTCCATCACTAACGGAACACGAAATACAGAATTGTACTTTCGTACAAAGGTTTCACGCAATGATATTTCTTTAGGAGACGGAATTATATTTTTGAGAAGCTCGCTTGATAAAGGTTCTTGTCTCTTTTCGTTCGATTGGTTAGTGCCTTGTTCATTTTTGTGCAGTACATTATCTTTTAATATTTCTTTGACAAATGGATACAAAATCATCTCAGTTCGTTGAATATTTAGTGTGCTATTTGTGACATAGGTATTGGAGCGATAAGCCGCGTATATATTTAGCAGTGAGAATGGAAGGAATGCAAGAAATATGTGAAATACTGGTTGTATAACAGATGGTACTGAAGACATTGCTGTTATTGTTGCGCTGATGGCGATTCCGATTCCAGTTCCTTTTATTTGAAAAAAATAATTACTCTTAATATAATTAAATTTTAACGTACTTGTAGAATTTCAAAGTATTACCTTACCTAACAATCCTGCTGCGGTGCCCTGAGATCTAGATTTTCCGGTGATATCACCAAGACTATAACAATTTTCAATCTCAGCCCAAATTTATGCAAAATGAAAAGCACAGAATTTTTGCAAAATACGAATTAATTCTTACTTGTCTCGTAATGCGAATGTCTTTGTCATTTGAGCCCTAAAAGAATAATGAAATATGCACATAAACACAAAAAAAACCAGAGAAACCACAAAAACATTTATTCGCCAAAAAACCTGCTTGCAGCACCTGCCAGCCAACAAATATTTTTTCCTATTTATGTAAAAAGTAATACAATTTTATTAGAATTGTTAATTTGAAAAAACTTAAAGTACTTACCAACATTTGACGTCGAAGCAAACAACAAAAACAGATGTGGATAAAGAGGCGCGATGAGCTCTAAAAGGCTGGCTAATTGCATGTAAAGAGTTGCTCGAAATCTGTAACGTTTTGGTTCGGAATCAAATCGTGAATTTACTGTCGCGGCATAAAATACGCCACCAAGCTGTCCCAAACCATCTTTTATGATCCAATTTAATGCTGCCGCTAGCTATTTAAAACAGACAGCGAAATATTAATAATAAAAAAATCGATAACAGAATGGCAAAAACGTTTCTGAATAACGTACAGGTACAGATGTCGCTCCAAGTCCCATCGCATATAGCAAAGATTGTGTAGATAAAACTAAAAGATTTTATCGATGAATCATCGCTGTAGGCAGAAATAATTAAACCCTAGCGCCACAAAACTAACCTCCGGTAACTGAACCAGCTGTCTTATTCACAAACTGCCATTTGGTGAAATTCCAATAATCTTTCGTCACTGCATCTGGATACCCTTTCGGCATAAACGCAGAAATCGCCTGAAGTTTTAAAGTATGTATAAACCTTTCGATCATATTTTTCCCTTCTTCTTTTAGTATCGGAATGCTTGTATGAGTTATCGTAAGTTTTGTCAATGGTTCAATATTTTTATTTTTATTTTCAGGTGTAGAAATCGATTCTGGAAAAGTAAAAATATCGATCCGTGATTTCCATGGCTTTCTAATTATTTGGCGAACACGTTCCGGTTTTCTTGTAGAAGTAACAGCAGAAACGGTAGCAAATGAAAATGACTCTTTGATGACTGAGGATTGTATTTTCTTTAATAATGGGTAACATGAACTGAAATAATTGCTATAGTAGTTGGTGTGAAAATTTGAAAATTTCTTGTTCGTACTGAAAAAACAGTGTGATGATATTGAAAACGGCGTCTTTAATCGAATTTGTAAATTTTCAAGTTTAAATATAATATAATTAAATTTTAACATTATTTTAACCTGGAAATGCACAAGATCGAGATACATGTATGTTTGTTCTATGGTCAATCATATGAGGAATAAATAATTCAAAGTTGTGATATCGATAACAATAACGATAACGATAACGATGACGATAATTTATCATTGAATTTTATTATCGTTATCGTTATCTGAAATCAGTATTCTATGGAAAGTTTTCTATAAGGATAATAAGCAACCAAAAATCTATTACTACCATTTACACTAATACTAATAAAAAAAATACAAAATTGAATAAATACGAATAAATACGAATAAATATGAATAAATATGCGATAAAAGGACGAATAAATTGAATTATCCCCTCGCAAACAAAGATCGTAGTCTTCCCTCGGCGCTAACATAATTATTTTCACGCGCTTTTCTAAACCACCTTATTGCTTCGTGTATGTCTACAAGTGTACCTCGTCCTTTGAAAAAATAATAACAATATAAATAATTTTGCCGGAAATATTAACTGTTAGAATCATTTATTTACCTTCGTGAAAACATCCTCCCAATTTACATTGCGCAAATGAATCGCCATTGACAGCCGCTCGCGAATACCAATAAAAAGTCTTATTTTTGTCCTTTTTTGTTCCGATCGCACTATGAAAACAATATCCTAGATAACAAGAACCTTGAATATCGTTTCCTTTTGCTGATTCTTGATACCAAAAAAATGCTTTATCTATATCCGGTTCTGTGCCAATTCCATTTTCATAACAATAACCTGAAATACGAAAAAAAACTTAGAAAACAATTACAAAGCAGCTATTAGAAAATAAATTGGCTGATAACTGACCTAAATTACTCTGAGCTCTTGCATATCCAGCTTTAGCAGACTTTTCGAACCAATAAAAAGCTTTGGCAGGATTTGCTTTTGTACCAATTCCTTTCCGTAAATAATGCCCTAAGGCACATTGTGCACTAGTATTACCTCCCTCTGCACTTTTCTTATACCAATACAAAGCTTGATTAACGTCTTTGGCTGTTCCTTTACCATTTTCAAAACAATGTCCAAAATCATATTGGCCTGTAGCATTACCAGCTTCCGCTGATTTCTTGTACCATTCAAATGCCATTAGATCATCTTTGACAGTCCCGCGGGCATATTTGAAACAATCCGCGTAATTATAGCACCCCGTTGAATTGTTATTCTCTGCGGATTTCTTATACCAGTAGAACGACGTATTTGCATCTTTGCGCGTTCCAATTCCATCTCGATAGCACCGACCGACAAAATTTTGACCATACGTGTCGCCAAGTTCTGCGGATTTTTTGTAAGCCTCGAAAGCCTGGATAAGGTCAGCATAGCCTCCAATTCCGTATTCCAAACAAAAGCCTCTCAAACATAGACATTCGGGCCGTGAAACTTTACACAATGATTCAAGGAATAATTTCGGATTTTGATTTTTAGATTTTAGGAATTCAGCTATCTTACGTTGCATTGCGTCCAAGTAAATAGCTTGGGAAAGATATTCTGCAAACAATTTTAGTGCTTCTTCCACAATATTATTATTATTGTCGTTGTTGTCGTCGTCTTCGTTGTCGTCGTCGTCGTCATTATTAATGCTATTATAGTTATTATAATTATTACTATTATCCAATAACGCTGTTTCAGATTTCTTTCTTTGACAATTTATATTGTGAATTCGGTTGAGATGTTTCGATTCATTATTTTTGTCACTTTCGTTATATATCAAATTAGATTCTTCGTTATCCGAATAATCAAATGAACATCTACACTCATTGTCCGGCGTTGATGTGTTGTCTCTTGCGGGATGAATTTTGGTATTATTGCTGGTCGTTGTTGTTGAAAAAAAAGTATCAAGTTCTTCGATATTATTTTTGCTGTTATTATCACTATTATTGCTTATACGTGTAGTATTAAAAGTAGTAGTAGTAGTAGTAGTAGTAGTAGTAGTATTATTATTATTATTATTATTGGTATCAAGATTATAATTTGATAGTTGCGCTCGAAAAGCTTCTTTTGTCGTCATTTCTTTTATTGAAAATTATAGTTTTAAAAGTTTCAAATATTATTAATTGAAAAAAACTTGACTTCTTTGTACAAAAAAGAGAGAAAGAAATAACGATGATTTATCATCGTTTATTAATGTTATTGAGGGTAGGTGTTGCTGTGTTTATATTTGTATTCCCCGATGCTTTTAAACAGTCACACAACGGCATCTATAAATATTAGTCTACATGTACTGCTTGTGTATGTGGTTATCCATTATATGTATATCGATATTGTTCTAGTTTATCGGATCAGGATCCGCGTACTCTTTTTTATACAAAGGGGAAATGTAGCCACTAAATCAGGCAATTTGTTTGTTTTTGGAGAAAAAGGCTTTGAACAAGGGAACAATTTTTCCTCCTCTCAAATGATTATTTAATCCGAATTTACGAGTTTTTTTTTTTTTACAAAGGATTGCCAATGAACCTCGTACGATTGCCGTAAATCTAAAAGTACGATTTTTTTCTTGGATTTTCGTTACATGTATGTACATGTACAGTACATGTATCATGTATCCTTGCTTCCAATCAATATAAGTCGGATTGATGAAAAATTCGATTCTAAATCAAATGAAGGATCAGATGATATTTGTATTTAAATACAATCGGACGGCTGACCTAATATGAAAAAGGAATATTTAATATACACAAAAAATTAGGACCCACATAATTAATAAAACATTGAAATCAATTCTTTATAATCATATTAATGCATATTTTTGTTTTTTATATCAAAGACAAGTACCTATATCTTAACATATAATTTTCAGATTTTGTTCTAATTGCGAAGTGATTAAAGATCTTTTGTGATCACTTTGCAATTAGAACAAAACTTACAAAAAAATCTGAAAATTATATGTTAAGATATAGGTACTTGTCTTTACTTTAATATAAAAAACAAAAATATTTATTAATATGATTAAAAAGTTTTATATTAAGAAAGGATTTCAAGGTTTTATTAATTAATTTTTATGTGCGTCCTTAATTTTCTGTACATGTATATATTTTCAGACAATTCATTAAAATATTTGAAATTAAAATCGAATTATCTAAGAAATTTAAAAATCAATAATTTAAAGCTTACTGAGGTATTTAAAATTCCTGTCTATATAACAAATACTCTGGATAATATAATAAAAAGTAATTTTGATTGTAACCGTTTGAATAGCACCAGCAATCCACACGATAAATCAACATAACGATTCATCAAATGCAAATAACTTATATGTGTTGTAATTGTTTCAGCTTCACCTGCATAAAAAGGATTGCTACCTATTCGAAATGCCTATAAGATCTAATACATGAGATTTTATAAAATTTCAACTAATAGCTATAAGAATTATGTGCGAATATGACCAATTGGGATCATAAGTTGCTCGAAACTATAATTTAAATCTAATTCTCCATGGGGATAAATCCATTTATATCTGCACATGATCTACTCTTTGTATGCGTGTAGTTAAGAGAAGCGAGTATCGGGCTTACTGGATTTAGAAATCAAAGAATAAATAGACTAAGGTCAGAATATCTACAGCTTATTAGGTTAACAATTGCTGCATTTACAGGTCGTAATGTTTGTGAAGATAATTTTGCCAAGGAGTTCTTTTAAAACTGTGCTTTGATTTAATTATAAGGTAGCTTTGGATAACTGAATTAGGGCGTTCGCTATACGTATAAATCTAGAGTCCTTTGTGATATATTAACTCCACTTGAAATAATATACTGTAGTTGAAAGAAGCATGCGATCGTAATCGTAAGAGCAAATTTTATGTCTTTATATACAGTGCTCTACCAAAAGTCAAGGCCAGCTCGTGATCAGCAAATAAATTTTGCCCTGTGTCCGGTTTTTAAATTAGGATATCTCGCCGTAGATCGAACCAAATTGAAAGCGGTTTTTTTCCCGTGCAGACAGAAATCCTAGGATTCAAATATCATAACCAACTTTTTATATTAGCAATCTGGGTTTTTCGTAAAATAGCACAACGTCGCGAATTGACTGTTTTCGAGCCAGCATGGCATATCGGACATTTCTCGCATACTTGACCTACCCAGAGAGACTTGCCGGAACGTTATTAAAAGTACTGTGAAGAAGGCCTTACAGAATCACCTCCTCGGTCAGGGAGACCACCCCTTTTGACCGACCGCGAAGAGCGCGCGCTTATAAAAACGATCCGGAAAGACAGACAAGAATCGCTCCAACAGATCACGGAAAAATTTAATGATCTCGGCCTAATCCCAATTAGTACTAGTACAGCGAGGCACATGCTATACAAACATGACTATTTTGGCCGTGTTGGAATGAGAAAGCCATTCGTTTCGGAGGATAATAGGAAAAGACGCTTGAAATGGAGTCGGTCACGCGTACTTTGGGATGAAGAATGAAACACAGTCATTTGCAGTGACGAATCTAAATTTCTTTTGTTTGAAAGCGATGGTCGGAGATGGGTTTGGCGTCAGTCTCATGAGAAATATGATGTAGATTGCTTGGTTCCTACTGTAAAAAGCAATACTGAAGGTGTTATGGTTTGGGATTGTTTTGTTAAGCTTGGCCCATTGGTAATACTAGAAGGGAGGATTACAGGCAAAGTGCACCAAGATCTTTTAGAAAATCATTTAATGCCTTTCTTGATGATCTTGGTGATGATACTACCATTGTCTTTCAAGATGATAATGCTCCTGTTCATAGAGCCAACTCTGTGCTTACTTGGAAAGAAGAGAATTTGATATCTTCTCTTCCATAGCCTGCTCAGAGCCCAGATATCAATCCAATTGAGCATTTGTGGGATCATCTTGGAAGAAAAGTGCAGAAACACAAACCCCAGCCAAAAAACAAAAGAGGACTAATTTGCAATTTGGAGGAAGAGTAAAGATGTTTTGACGCAAAATTTTTTGAGATCGGCAGATCAATGAAAATTGGCCTTGACTTTTGGTAGGGCACTGTATGTTTTGGGCTATATGCAAATAATGAGACGAAGTTAGGTTATTAAAATAACAACAATAACATGCTATTGGAACCCTTGATTTTTATTATATACAGTACCCGGCGAAAAGAATGGCGGTGGAAATGCCACTTACGTTTTTGCTATAGCGTTTCCTCCTCTCCGATTTGGACCAATGTTTATATTATCAAATTAGTAAGTGGAACGCCATTTAAAAACAAGATGTAAACAATGACTTTTAGTATTGTTTACACCTTGCTTTTACGTCTCAAAATAGCACCAGCCCCTCCCGAAGCACAATGAAATGCCGTTAACTCGCTCTGGCAACAAAACGTCCAAAATCAAAAGGAAATTTCCCAGCGATTGGGCATTCCCTTACGATCCTGTGAGCGGTATGTCAGTTTATAGCGTAAAACCGGCAAAATTTCCATTGGTCACTCATCTGGTCGCCCTCGAAAGTTAACTCCCAAAAACGCCGCCATATTGGAATGATTGTAAAACATAATCATTTCACTACAGTACCGGAGCTCAAGGCTTAACTAGAAGGAAATGATTCTGAACTTGAGGTTAGTGAACGTACTATTTGTCATGAGCTCACAAACCTTGGTTTTATTTTGGTTCTTCCCAGAAGAGTCCCTCTTCTAACCCAACAAGTGAAAGACCATCGCTTGTCTTGGGCACGTGATCATGTCTGATATAACTGGAAAAAAGTTGTTTTTTCTGACGAAACAGTGACTCAAATGTTTTGTAATACCCTTCTCGGGATGCAAAACCTGTTGCACCTATGGTGAAGCATCCATTCAAAGTCCACATTTGGACAGCGATCAGTGTTAAGGGAAAAATCAGGATACATTTGTTCACCGAAAATCTGGATCATCATTTGTATCGTTAAATTCTTAACGACCACCTGAATGACAATGCAGATGCATTGTATGGCCGTAGGTAGATTAACCAACAGGATATTGACTCCAAACACACTTCTAATGATGTTCAGAATGACTTAAAAGAACGTCTTCGGGGGGTCATGTTCTTCCCTGGCCTTCGTATAGCCCTGAACTCAACCCTATCGAAAATGTATGGGCTATTTTAAAGAGGAAGGAAAAATATTAGGAATATGGTGGCGCAAACTAAAAAAAATCTCAAAAGAGATTTTTCTTGCCGTTATTAAACAGGAATGGGATTATATCGAAAATGATGTGTTAGTTCGGTGCATCGATAGCATGCGGAACTGGGTTAAGGCATGTATTGATGCAGAAGGAGGCCATACGAAGTATTGACCTAATAAGGAGAAATATAGCGTTAGTGTTTATTTTTATGTAAAAAAAAACGCAATAGATAATAAATTACTTGTGTGATGTCAAAAAATCTGTCCCACATTCTTTTCGTCGGGTACTGTAGTCAACCCCATTACTACTTTTAAACCGAATACCTTGTTAAACCGAAATTTTTTTTTGAAACACGCATTCTTCGCAATGTATGCCGTATGCTTTTTACTGAGATATCGATGCCAAGGCCATATTTAAGTTTATTTTTGATCTCGATGACGATAAGAACATTTCTCCGTCATTATCAACCGGATGGCATATCTCTCATAACGGTCAGTAAGAATTCGTGGATGACTGAATTTTTTAAATTGTTATAGTTCATTCTATTCACAAATTCGTAGGACCGAGACTAGGCTCACTTGCGTCACAGCAGCGATTTCCCATACTATATAGACTTCGCGTAAAGTGTAAACATTTTTCTTTTGAGATCAGAATCATCCGGTGAAAATAAGCTATCAGTGAGTCAAGAAAAGGAATTCTATACGGAATAAGGCAAATAATGAGGCCTTTTTACTTATCTTTGAGGTATGGATTTAGCGGAACGCAAAAGAAATAAAAAAATTATTTTATCTTTTTTAATAATTTTTAAAAACGCTAAATTTTATAGACATCATATTAATGAATAAATACAGCTTACTTTTGACATAATATCTCAATAGCGAGATATTCAAATCTCATCATTTTTTTCCGTGTGATTTCATAAGTAAATCATTGTATGTTATCATTAGTACTAACCTTATACCCCCTATATTTAGTTTGGGCCGATTCCTTTTGATAGAATGAGTTTGTTAAGTGTTTATTCAGATAAGTTATTCACCTTTTTATCTGAGTGTATCCTTTTATACATTATGTTACATTTTAAATCATCTTCCATATGGCACATCCGTTTATAAAATTCAATAGCTTCTTAAATATAAAGCAAATCCAAAAGTTCTCCTGTAATGAGCTTGATGCTGTACACCATATGACATTTCACAAACTTTAGTAACTAGCAATTAGATCTATTCCACATGTTTTATGATAAAGCTTATTACCAGCATATCGATTAATGCAAGTTCAAAAATTTTAAAATAAGTACATGGTCGTCAACCCTCATTAAACCGAAAGACGCTTTGCTTGCTATTTTCCTTTGCCTTAACGGGGCCTTCGGATTAACGGGTGCCTTTGCTAATTCTATTAGAAACAATCTATCTTCGTAAAAAGTCATTGCTCGTCGAAAATTTGGGCGAGAATATAACGATCGACGATTGGAAGCTGGCCCCTGTCTGACAAAGTAAATTCAGCTTTTTGTGTCAGACGTATGTATTGCTGATGAAGTCTGATGAACAACTAACTAACCGCCCTATCACGCCCACTGTGAAGTTTGGTGATAGCGTCATAATGGATTGTATGAATACCGAAGGAGTGGGACAGCTCAAAAAAATTGACGTAAAGATGACGGCCCATTTTAGTCGATATATTAATCGAGGTTCACTGTCTGAGAAAATGCTGGATAAAGAAGAAATTTTTTTATCAGCAATTCAATGACCTAAACATATGTCGGTGAAAGCAAAAGAATGCTTTCTTGAAAAGGGAGTTGACTTGCTTGAGTGATCAGCTCAATTATCTGGCATAAGCCCAATGAAAGTTTATGGGATGACGTTGATAGGCGGCTACGGCAACTCCCTGGTCCACTTTCAAATAAAAATGAATCGTAGAAAAAGCTTCAGATCGCACGGAATGGTATCGAAGCTGATTTGTGAATGGTTAGTGGTTTCGATTCCAGAAGAGTAGTACAAACAAGGGAGGCTATACAAAATGGTCGTGTTAATACACGTAGTTTGTAATGTGCATTTTATTAGGTCGCTAATTGTTCTGCAAAGAGAAACTCATTTTTAATATCTTTCAAAGGAGGAGCAAAAAAATTGATAACCATCATATTAATGAATATAGCATGCTCATAATTTTCAATGGCGAGATATTCAAAATCTCGTCTTATTTTGTGTTCCATTTCAAAGACACCCTTGAAGTGTTCAGGTCTATTAGTAAAAAATTCACTATATTAAAGAGTTATTAGTAATTTCTTTATAACCAGCGGATTTATTCGCGAGTTTTAATTAATCGCAGGGTCATTATCTCAAGAGTGTCTTTGAATATAGTAACACTATAATGAAATATGCAAGTGTCTCTAGCAATTCGTTTCTTTGTTTACCTTCCTATTTCCCATTTGCAAGCTAGTGGCGGCGTTGTCAATTGTGGTATTGCTGCAAATAACATGATTGCATATAAAGCATTGTCATCAAAAAGTTGTGATTTGTTATTAGTTATAACGATAAATGATCTTTGATGATGCAATTCATTCATTTGCAGGTCACGAGATGATCCGAAATTCCGATAATAATCATGATCAATGATTATTTGTTTTCACTGATACGGAAAGTGGGACTACTTTTTAGTATTTGAGCATGACCACAAAAAAACTTTTTTCCTTTTAAAATAATTTTCGAAGTACCTCAAAAGAGAGCCTTACATAAGAAACAATTATGCACCGTATGCACAGATTTTTTCCTAGTTCGGTTAGCGTATTATAAGATATTTACTTCAAAAATATGCATTGTATGCAACAAAATATTTGGTTCAAAAAATTGAGATGCACCGTGTATTGGAGAAAGTCTGCAGATTTTCGTTTTCACTACATGTACTTACAGTGTTTAACTCGTTAATTTAGTTATCAATTTACAGATTTATCATCTGTGCTTCTTATTGTTCTGAAAGATGGCGAGATTTAACTATTCTGACAAGCGAAAATGGTAGCTGCTGCAACATAACAAAACCTGTTGCCAGCATGATTACAAATCTCATTCTTATTATGCCACCGTAACTAGATTGTCAACATGACAATAAAAAGTGACGCACCAGCTTTCTTACGATTACAGAGCGAGCAAAGAATACCAAGCAAGCACAAATAGCAAAAAGGAAACCGCCGAGTTTAACAAAATGCTTACAAATAGATATGCTATTGATGAATGTCTTTCATGATTAGTCTTTTTTGGGTAACATAGGGAATTTCACTATAACAAGGAATTCTTTATTTTCGAATAAATATTTATGGCATAACGTCATCTGTATCTCATCAAATAAATTGATCAACTGGAAATGTTAACGTTAGTGGTTACTTTAAATAGATTAAACAGTGCTTTATAGGTTGTGAAAATTTTGCTTTTATCACTTATTAAAACCTATATTAATGAAATACGCATGCACATGTAATTTTTTGAATTTGTCTGGCTCTGAGTCTCTATATTTCCTTATTAAGCTACTTTACTAATGATATTGACGCTCGTTTGCAATATTACGAGAGAATAAAATGAATTGAATGGATGAATGTAAAATTTAGACACCACTTTTTCAGATTATAAATAAATTTTTCATATGTTGTTGACCCTTTTTAAGATTTCGTTCTGCTCATCAGTTACAAATGAATGTCACATTGATAGATTACATAAAATTTGGGAAGAAAATTCTATGATAGAAAAAGCATTTTCTAAATGACAAATGTTATTCTTTTATCTCACGAGGAAAGAATTCCATTTCTTTTCAATTCCAATCGAGTTACCTATTCGTATATACCATGCATTCATAATCAATTTATATTCTAGAAGCAAAGGAAACGAGTGTTAGTGGAAACATCGTTATGGAGCTAACAAAAAAGGACATTTAATTATGATTATTGGACAATTTATCACGCGGCACAAGCATCTGTTCAAACGACACAAAGGATAACAACAACTACCACAAATTTTAATATTTTATATATGTGAGTTCGGAATTAGAAAGTCACACAGATTTAAGAGAACATTCGAATAAGAATTCTAAATCATTATTGCTTATTTAGGACATTTAAGATAAGTTTTGTATCTGGGTCTATAAGGAAGTACTACCTCTTCGTCAAATTTTTGGTTATTACATGTAGTTATTTAAAGCAAACTCGTTAACGTTAGGTGTCATTCATGAATTCGCCACAATCGTCTAAATATAGACAATCCCAGCCAATGAGAACAATAGTAAATTTATGACGCAAATCAGTCGTAATAGCGAGTCGTGATCACAAAAAAATTTTTTCTTGATTACACATTTAGTAAAGCTTTTTTTAATTTATTTGGTTCATGTTTTTCAAGGCGAATAAAAAAACACTTGGTTAAATCTTATAAAATTATCTAATTGAATGCTAAATTAAAATTAATGTAACACCAGAACTAAAAACTAAAATAAACATTCACCGTTTAGAGAAATATATATATGAAAATTTTGGCGCTAATTATACGTGTCTATTTTTAGAACAACTTCACATAAATGAAATCAGGTTATACCAAGGTTAAAAATAATGAAGATAGTGTCTTCACAAGAGAATTTCAACATGTTGAGATCTCAAAACGTTCAATTCTTTTTTGAGAACAATGCACCACAATTTTTCATTATTAATAGTAAAGAAACCACAGATTATAATCATTAGATTATGTGGGTACTCCGAAAACTTTTCTTGTTTATTCCCCAAACCATGTACAAGTTATTTGTTACAGTCGCAATGAATGGTTATTCGCCGATGGCTAACCGTCATCATAATAAGATTTGATAATTAAAGTCACCCTTTCAGAAGTATTTGTTCAATTCGTATTTGAAAAAAAAATATAATAAACTTTATACACTAAATCTTTTTACAATAAAAACATATTCTAATGTTTATTAGTGTTGGTAAATTCCAAATTTGGTTGAATATTTTTGACAATCTGCTAAAAGATACGCGTAAAAGGAATTCTCTATGTGGGTCCCTCTGCAATGTATCAAGAATGTAATTCATACAAGTTTCAGTTACTGTGTTAGATATTTTTTATATGGCAAATGTTCAAGTCATACGACTCGTTTTTTAAAGCGAATTCAGGAGTATACATATTTCGTATCGTCCACTATTTCTATAAGAAGTTTCCCCTCTTTTACTTGGAATTTAAAGTCCGTTTCTTTCTCTTTCATTTATAAGTACACAATTCTAGAATTCAAGCCGTATTTCTGAAATTTAATATGAAATATGCTTGATCATATGATGTACCGGTAAATTCCGTCAGAAGCTTGGTACATCCCTATTAGAACACCATTCGAAGTACCGGAAGCTTTGGAAATAAGCCTTTTTCTGTTACTTGTACATGTACTACGCTTATTTATATGTATCAAATGATTGTTTCACCAAATTAATTAAATTATTGTACACGACAAATATGAAGCCAGAAATTGGGAATCAAATAAAGTAAGGATATTGCAAAAATGGGAAAGAAAAAAATGAATAAAATAATGGAAATGAATTCATGGAAATAAACACGCAGTTAAAATAGACGACTGAAAAAAATTCCTTTTTTTTTAAATGTAATTAAGTGACTATCAGTAAAATAATATCCGACTGGAAACAAAGCGGAAGAATTCTTTGTGAACAATGTTTTTGTCTCTCATCATCTAAGAATTCTTAAAACGGAAAAAAATAACCAAACTTTTTAGCGAATACATATCGATATACATGTACTGTGTTATGTGACACAAGAGTGGGAAAATTTTTTATATAAGACCGTAAGTCCAAACTTTTACCTGAAAAAATTGTCACTTAAAAATTTATTATTGAATTTCATTCAACCCTACATAAAGAAGTAATAAAATGGGTAAAACCAACAAAAGTAGCCTTGAATCTCTTAATGCTTTCACCAATAATTCAACCCCTACTCGTCGTCACTCAATGATGATGGCAATGGGAAACTTTTCAGTGAAACAGAAAGCAGTTGCGCGAAAAAATCGTCCAGCCGCTGAAATTCCATCTGGTTTCGACCCAACTATAGTTTATAGACCACGTTTTGGTCTCCACGCTCTAATTAGCACTACCAAAAAACCACGCTTAACGGATAAACCTCCTCGTCCGCCAAACAGTTTCTTCCTTCTTAAAAATTGTCTATTGCTTGAATTATGGGATTTAGGATTAAAACCCACGATGCCAATAGTGTGCAAATTGGCCAAGGAAGTGTGGAAAAACGCGCCTCAAGAAACTAAAGAAACTTACGATAGACTTTCCACGGAAGCTCTTAAAATTCACCATTCCATGTATCCAAATTACAAATTTCAACCAAAAAGAACGGACATTACAAAAAGTAAGAAATCGACTCCTAATACAGACACCGCCGGAATGATAACAACTTTTAGCATCAATCCCAATCCCATTTGCCCTACGATTACTGTTTCTGCGGAAAATGAATCGGAAATTTTCGATCAACAATTGAGTTCCGATTCTGATAGCGGCTACTCTGACGCAGCTTTTACTTCGCCAATGTCTTCTCCATTTGCTCAATCTATCAAAAAATTTGAATTAGGAATTTTCGATTTTGCGTGCTTGGCACCTGAAATTGGAAGCACATCAAGTCACAACATATCTAATGACATCATACCAGCTAATTGTAACATCGATTATACCCTCTCCGAAAATTCGGCGCTTAACGATACCGAATCCTTTTCAAATCTCTCTACAACTTTTATAAATCAAGGATTTCCTATGAGCGATGAACAATTCTTGGCATTTTTAGATAATTCTTTTTATCCATCACAATTCGAAACAGCTTTATCACTTTTTTCTGATACAGCAACCTCTCAAACATTGAATCATTTCTCTGATCTTGATGAAGTTCTATAGCTATAGGATAAGATAATTAATCTTGTAAATAGCCAATTGGTGTCGTGATAACAATGTTTATTAAGACACTGTTGGAAAAAATGTCGAGGGAGAGAATATAGATAGAGATAATTTTTTATATTTATAAATTTGTATATTTTGTAAATTATTCTAAATCTCAATCCTAACCACATCTTGAATCCACTAAATGTATGTATTTCCACATTGATTACTCAATAATATGAAATAAAAACCTCATAAGAACTTCGATCTAGGAAGATTGCATATGCATTATATCGGGGTCTTAAGAAAAGAAGTGAATCTAGAGCGATGGTTACATTTATTTACATATGCATTATATAAGCTTACAGTTTCATTTTCTCAAACAGATGGGACGATCACAGGTAAAAGGATATTCCGTTGGATTGTCATTTTCCACTTCTTTTTACAGTGCTCGTTGCTCAAAATTTTCCCAGGGCTCTGCCTCATTAATGAAGGAAGATTTTGATATTTATTTTTGGTAAAGTTTTCATGATTTCAATTTATTCTATTTTGATCCATTTCGAGTCCAAAGTATTCGACGTTTGCTATTTTTATTTTATCAGTTTTTGCTCTTGCATAACGATAAACTTGTTTTCGCCAATGAATCTACTAATAATCATGAATATACTATTTTGTAGAAGAGGAAAAACTAGACTAAGACTTCAAGAGTCAAGACTTCAAGTTTAATGGCACTACAGAAGTTAATCTCGTAATGATAATCAAAATTTTTTTTGAAAAGATACTTATCCGTATTTGTTGTTTACTTAGTGATGGGAGCCGCAGCTAGCCGCAACTCTGTCGCAATTCTCTGATAGGCTATCGCAACTAGTTGAGGAGCCATCTTTATTGTTTACAATGTGTATCACAGAGAAGTAAACTCCTAGCAACTTTGGCGCAATCCCACAAAAAATCTGTAAATACTCATATGCAGTAAATATAGTGAATTACCGCAGGATGATATATTAGTCTTTAGATATAAGGAAAAACTTACGATTTGGCAGTAATTTCGCTTGAAATAGAAAATGTGAGTTGCACATGCACTCCACTAAGAAATGTTGATGAATGAATGAATGAATTAATAACAAGTGTGAATTAACTTATTTATTAACTTGCTATATTAAAATGTCCCTTAAATTGGCAACTATTCTGCTTTGAATTTTGGGTTTAATTGTATCTATGATAAGTTGTTTTCTCGGAACAGATTGCAATTTAATAAAGGTCTACGAGTCATTTTTTAAACCAGGTATAGTGTGAAACATGCATCTGCATGTAGATATGAACAGTATTTCATGTTTCGATAAGCATTCTCTCATGTACAAATTTATCGAATAATACAAGGGTGATATATAAAGAAAGCTAAAAAAAGCACTCAAAATAGTGTTTCGATACATGAAGAATATAACATATAATCCTTTTAATTCTCTTTATAATCTCCGCTCGCTATTAGAAATTCGATTTTTGGTATCTACATGTATTTAATATTGACATTAGTTTCCATTAATGTTAGAATGATACATCATCCGAGACATCCATAGAATTATCCTGGAATATATTTTCTTATTCTATCGAACAAATTAAGTTTTATAATATCAACATTTTTGGTTTTCATTTGTTCTAAATAAAAGGATATCCATATAACACACATTTTAGATTTTTGAACGATGAAAATATTTCGCTGATCATTTTTGCTATTTAGAAATCTAATTCTCTTTGTATTTATTTTGCTATTTATTTTATTCTGGCTCCTTTGCTAAACAGCTATTCTTGCATTCTTTATGCGGAATTTCTTTTCTTTCGATGAACAGACTAATCTATCGTTTCGCATTTGGTTAGTTATACGGCAATGCATACAAGATTTTATTTTGTTTCTGTAAAGGTTTCTACCAATCGTTATATGTATATATATATTGTATATTTTTTAGTATATTTAAATATTCTATTTGAAAATTTATAAAACTTCCGAAAAGATCCCATGATTCAAGTGAATGCTTAACTTCAAAGAAATGGCTTGTTTGCCATTTTTAAAAGGACCCATAAAATTTTTAGTTTAAATAGTTATAATATATAATAAGTGTTTGATATTTCACAACTCTTATTTCATAAGAATTGCTCTGACTAAGCTTCGTTCACACCAAAGACACATACAATACCCAAAGAAGGGTATTCCGGAAGCCAAGCTTCTGAATTTTCACACGAATTCTTGGCACGCTTAAAACTACAGTTCAAATGTACCAATGATATTTCTTTGAAATATCACGGATCTGCTTTAGATTGCTCTTTTTATGTGTAAGCTCTTCTATCCAAACATTCCCCTTGAACAACAAAGAACGTTTGTTACTGCATAATCTAAATAGATATTAACAGATGAAAAAAAGATGCAAGACCCACTATGCACCTTCCTGTTCAAGTAAATTCTTAAAAGAAATTCTTCGATATGTGCCATTGATAACAACAATATGTACTATGCGTGCCAAATAATAATTTGCGCCGAAAGTCCCCGAACAAATTTACTTATCTTCTGAATATGTAAGAGTTGCGTTTATATTAGGATATATATATATTTATTTATATATATATATATATATATATATATATATTTCTATTTCTATTCTATATATGAAGACAATATCTATTCTATATAGATCATATAAAAGCATTTAAAACGCTGTAGAATGATATACTGTGCTTTTTACGATAAAAATTCTTTTCTTAACTATTGTTCTTTCTTCCTCTCAAATATGGAAAGCTTATGTTTCACAAATAAAATAAAGAGTTTTTTTCTATATTAGTAAATTTTATTCTCTTATTTCTTTCAATCTCTTATTTCTCTTATTTCTTTCAATCCCAGATTACATTTATAATCCTCAAGACGACAACCCTATTTAAGAATGGGATCGAATTTCTCGTAACTAGATTGAACTTCTCTCATAAGTATTTTTTAATTCGGAATCTTATGTCCGTCATTGCTTATACGTATGAACAATAAATAATGCATCCGACCTGTCATTCCAAATACTTTGAAACATTCATTTAGCTCATTATGAATCTAAACTTCATTATCTTGTCAAATAAGTTCTAATTAATTAATACGGAAAAATGTTTCCGATATTATCTCACATGACGGCTAGTACATACCCATGATCAAAAATTCGTGGCCGGCATTCTATTTCCGATTCAAATTTGTCTGTGATCACCATGTGTATATTCACAAAGTAACACACGATGGAATGTCGTTAAAAAAGTTGTCAACCTTCGTTGAACTGACAAATTACTCAGAAGCCATGATTTATCTAGAATTTTGTGTTATGTATTTTTTCTTTACAATGAGATCTTTGAGATTAAAAGCTGTTGTTATAATAAAATTTAGTCTCAAAATTTTTTCAATTTCCATTTCGTTACTTGATGTGGTTACACATTTAATCTCGTGATTGGCTCAGATTGGGCATTAATATTTATGGTTACATCGGTTACTCTGCATATCAAACGTGGCGAGTTTTATCTTTATGATAACCTTTATTTGGGTGATTTGTAAAAACGTTTTGTGTTTAAAAATACACTAATTCTTTAGAAAGGTTTGCTAGAAATTTAATCTAGAATTCCTTTTGATTTCATTCAATTAGAATTTTCCCCTAATTATAATTTTCAATATCTACAATCTGGAAACCGAAAGTTTCCAAAGAAAATTAAAATGTAGTAGAGGGGCATTAAATGTCAGAAAGAGCAAAAAAAGAAATTGGTATCATACTCAAGTCTGAAATGCATACGTAACAAGCAACAATGGAATTGTTGCGTAGAATAATCCTTAGGGAAGTAACTTTCGCGTGGCTTCGATTAAATGAGGGCAATTCTGCCACGACCTTCTCGCTATCAAACGTGACAAAGACAATAATTTTCGTTCGAACGCGGGGCGTGAATATCATGTACATGTACATGTATTGTGTTGATCTCTGGGTCATTCAAATCTTGGACGTTTGCCAGGATGACGATTTCTATTTCAAGTTGTTCATTTAGAAGAGAATAAGAGAATGCAATTTGGTTGTTTTTTATTTATTTTATATTTCAGTAATGTCATTTATTGGTAGCATTCACGCTGAATATCATCTGAACAATAACATGATAATTTCTGCATAATCGTTACAGATCGAAAAGCATAAATTCATTTACGTACGGAAGGTTTTATTTGTTTACACAGTATTATGAGTTGGGCGATTATATGCCATACTATGAATTAGTAATTTCTTAAAAAAACGTTCAATTGGAGCCAAGGTAACACAAATTGCACTTCTCGTACTGTGCGCATTTTATTGAGTGTTTAAAATGGAAACGTTTATGGAATCAATTAAACTTAATGCATTTAATATAATTAACAATGTAAAAAAATAAATAAAAAAAGTAAACTAAAAAAAAAGTGAATAAAGAAAAAATAAATAAAGAAAAAAAATAAATAAATAAAATAACAATACGTATTTGTGGCGCAAATATAAGTTTTGTACATGTACCAAGGTTATTAAGATTACTGGGATGAAATTTGTATATAAAGCTTGCCTGAGTGCGCTCCATTCATCAGAAAATTCATCTATTTATTTTAAATTTTGTTTTCGACTCAATTTCGACTAAAAAAAAAGAATAATTTCAAAAAATGACTAGAGGAAACTTAGTTTCTAGCAATTCTAATAATGGAGTTTCTCCATTACATCGTTTATCAACTTCGACCAACAACAATATAACAAGACGCAGAGCAAATGTACAAAGGAAACGTTCAAACAACGTAATACCGCAAGATTTTGACATTTCAGTAGTCTATAAACCTCGTTTCAATCTTCAGACGTTAATTTGTACAACAGCAAAGAAACAACGTTCATCTGATAAACCGCCAAGACCACCAAACAGTTTTTTCCTACTCAAGAATTGTCTTTTGCTCGAATTATGGAGTAAAGAAATAAAGCCAACCATGCCAAGTGTCTGTGTGTTGGCCAAAAGAGTATGGCAAGAAGCTCCTCCAGAAGTAAAAGAATTATACGATCAACTCTCTACCGAGGCACTTAAATTGCATCATTCAGAGTATCCAGGATACAAATATCAGCCAAGAAGACCCGAAGTTTCGAGAAGTACTTCATTTCCAATGGGCAATAGTATGGGCATGATGACAACTTTTAGCATAAATACTCCATTATCAACTTCCGATTTAACGGCAACTACTAATAATGAGGAAACAAGTCAAATAGGATCTGATACTGAAAGTTGCAACCATTCAGATGTAGCATTGTCGCCTCTTACATATCAAAATGTAACATTTTCACCCGAACAAAACACAGCTATGGAAATCCCAAACCTAAATCATCCGCAAGTACAGGATGATTTTTTGTTTCCAGTTATTTCGCCACAACGTCCGATATTCAATGTGTTCGCAAATGCGGATATGTTCAATGATGATAGTTTTTTAAATGCTGGACCAGGATATAGTTTTAGTGATAGTGATAATTTTGATCCTGCCGATATATTCATGAATTCATTTTTGGCATATAGATTTATTCCCTTTAGATAGACAACCTTTTTATATATATATGTTTTTCTTCCATATAATCCGTTTTTGTAACATGTTCTTCCTCATCTCTTTTTTTATTTAAATTATATACTGTAGTAGTAAGCGCAATGAATGTAAATATATCCCTCGACACATAATATAAATGATCGCATGAAAACTGTAATTCCCATATAGCATAGTGTCTATTGTGAGTGTATGATTTTTGATAATGATAATATGACCATTTAGTTACCCACCCTATGAAAACCAATATAAGCTCATCATCTAAGAGTAATTAAGAATTTAAAGATCCGTCCCATAAAATAAGTAGTGTGATGCATTTTGCATGTAGGATAGTGTGGCTTTGTAGAGAGCATGTTTGAATTTTTTGTGGAATATTAATTATAGATTGAATTTATAGATTGAAATTCTAGATGAAAATATTCATTCATTCCTATTGTGGAAGTTCTGATTTTTTGGGCGCATAAAATTTTAATAAACTGACTGTTACTGATATTTGGAATTCGATATTTCTTATCAAGCATAAAAAAATTCTGAATTATTATTGTTCTTTGTTATTTTACACTTCGAAATAGAATGTTCTAATGAAAATGTCTATCATGGAATTTTCCGATTTATCCGCAGTATATTCGTTCCCGACATAAAGAAATTCGAAAAAACATTTCTCTATGGAAAAGTATCAATTCATAATTGTAAAAGATGATTTTTGGACATCATATTTTTTTATTTGCTCTGTAGAAAAGATCGAATCAAGCGGTGAAGTAAATCCGTAATCATGACGATAAATTATCGTTATTTGTTTCATTCAAACCTCATGCGCTGTTAAATTTTCTTTAAAAAAACCTTATCTAGTTATTTAAAGAATCCGTCCAAGCTTTCTTGAAAGAATCAAATAAAACATTAAAACAAAGATTCCTTGGCATTTTTTATTTGAATTAAAGCAAGAAAACAAATTCCCGTATATGCCACGTATAGATTTGATGATCACAGTATCATAATTCCAATTTTTCTGAGAATTCAAAAAACTTCTTGCAACAAAAAATAATGTTTTTTCTTTAAAAATTCTTGAAATTATGAAACAATGGCGAAAGCATCTTCCTTTATCAAAGAAACTCCCATCAAATGAACGAGAACGGCTGCATTAAATGTATATACATGCATGTAGTACCTCCCCCCCCTTATTTATCATATGATTGTATAACCATCATGATACAATTTAATGTTCACGTATTTATATTCTCTAGGTATATATATAAGCCAATAATGTTTGTATTGTAGGGACTATTTGCTTCATTCACTATCAAATATGAATAAAACAAAAAATGATAAAAAAAATTGTAGACCCGTCCTCGTCCTATTCAAAAACCTATATAAATTAAAGTTACAGCGTCATAACCTTGTCGTTAATAATCTACATATAGAAGCAAAAAAACTTTGGGAAGCTTCGCCAAACAATTTTAAACAAGATTTTACACGAAAAGCGAAATATTATCATGATAGTTCACAAAAAAATAGAGAAGTTTTGGAATCTTTCAATAGAAACAGCTTAATAAAAGCACGTATCAAATGGTTATCGATCAACGCAGAAATTTTCGGTGAATCAAGCGTAGGTGACAATATCGTCGTCGAAGAGACTCAGGCGCCAGCAGCATCTGAACCTCAAGTTGAAGAAGCGGAAGAAGAAAGACCAATACGGCCTATTTTAATTGACCAACGTTACTTGGACGGTGGTGGTCCTTTTAATTTTCCTCAAAATGGCAACAACGGAAATGAAAACTTTGACTTGCTTGGCGGGAATAATTTAATCTAAGCCACTATGAACATTTATTATCAAGCTTTTCTCTCTCATCTCTTATGTCATTATTCATATGTGCTGGTCTAAAGAATTCGGATATTTATATTTTTTATGACGATGAGCACAAATATATCTTAAATATTCTACCACTAATTTTTTCACTGTGCGGTTTTCGTCTTCTTTAAACCATATTAATTTAATATAGCTTAGAGATTAGACAATAGCTTAGAGATTAGACAATAGCAATTCATGTCTTTAGAGTAATTGTAATTGTTATAGTATAGAACAATAAAATAACTCACCGGCTCTTTTTAGTATTTTTGATTTTTGTCTTTGCCGGGCGTGCATAAATAAGGCGGGGGTCGTCTGATCAAATATTATGCGTATTATCAGTTCAGCTGCATATTATGCTGCATGCATGTTTAATATGTTTGAAAAAGGATAGTAAATGTTAACTGCTAGATGATTGTGGGAAAATAATGATTTTATAGATACATCATATTTGATTTGAGCCACCACTTGCACTTTTTTTCATGAAAAATCTCCAACTTAAAAAAGGATAAAATGGCTTTGAGAAAATAGATTAATTTAAGAAACATCTGTGTAACGCGCGGTTTTTTACAGTTGCTTTTTGTAAATCAAGCCGAATTTCTCCTGTTAGTGCAAAAACATAGGCTATCATTTGTTTATATGATATACGTAATTTACATTATATTTTATAATGTAATGTACATTGTAAAATTTAAATGTGCATATAGAATATAATGCCACATTTTTATTATATCATAATAGCTATCTATATATATCTATCAAAGGAACTTGAGAGGTCGCGTGTCCAAAAAACAAATATTATGCATTATGGAAAAACTGTCAGGTGAAAGTTTATCCTCAAATATTTATTTATGTTATATAAAAAATACATACAAGTGATGATATCATTGACATTGATTCCATATTCATACTTATATATACATAAAAACTTCTCATTGAGGCTATTTTCGTGTAAAAAAAGCGGAAGCAAATATGCTGCGTTACATGAACCTTTATTTACTTTAAAGAAACACTATTTGTTTAGAGATCGTGTCAATATATTGCACACATGTCCTTTCACATATCTGCTAATACAAACAAAAGATGTATTGTTTTTGCACGTTTTGAGGATTTTTTTCTCTTGACATGTGGCCGTGCATTTTCTTCGACAATATTAATATAAGAAATGTGGGAAGTATTAAAAATGTTTAGATAATCTTCCGCTGTGATACTTCAGCTATTAAATTCATAAAGGATCTTGTACTCGGAGCTCCGACTTTATTGATCTCGTAATCATTCATTATTGCGTTTCATCTATCTATAAATAATGATAGAGGATACACTAATATATGTTCATTTACTAGTTGTGTACAACTTTCTGGTTTCATAGAGAAAATGCATGTGAAAATTTAATTTTACTTTTTAAAGAAACAACAATGGATCCAATTTCAAGAATATTTTCGTTTTAAGGATCTCTATCAAAAAATTTTTGTCTTATACAATACATACAACTGGATTAAAATTTTTTAGCGCATAGTACAACTCAATAAGGGGAACTTAATTAAAATTTTTTAGCGCATTGTACGACTCAATAAGGGAATTTGTATGAGAATGCAAGTCCAGTTGAATACCTATACGTACACACATTTTTCGAGTTGATACTACGCATCTGCATATTTTTACGATATTTGAAGATGAAGTTAACTTAAACTTTAAAACTTGTTAAGCTTTGGTGATGCAATTTAAATAGATTATGCTCTACTGGCATTCTCTTTTTTTTATGGTGATTATCAACGGAAAATTTTCTTTTGGAGCCTCGACATTACATGTATGTGATCTTGCGCAGATCCTGTTTTTTAAAACAATGACACTATCGCTATCTGCAAAATCAAAATTTTTTTTACAGGGATAGATAAAATGATGCAATGTCTAACCATTTTTAGATTTCATAGGATCATTCCACCAGTCCGGTCACAATTGTGGATTTTGTTTACGCCAAATGAAACGTCGTGCAAAATGCCCCTTGCAGCGTTATTTGTAAATATAGATATTCACGTTTTCATTCAAAAACGATAGTCAGCATTGTAACATAATACTGTATATCATATTAATTTTTTATTTATACTTTTATTATTAAAAATCAGAAAATCCCAAATCTTACTAAAATTATATGGAACTAACAACATATACCCTTGTTAAGAAAGAAACTAAGCTTATGTACATGCACGTTGCTTGAGTGAGGTGAAATAAAAAAAATCTTAATTATTTTAGAAGTGCAAGTATTCATCTATTCGATAATCATTTTGGTTGAAGGTATAGGAAAAAAGGATCAGTAACATACATATATTCTATCATATTATAATTATTATTATTAAGGTTGGGTTGTAGTTGAAAACTATTGTCGTGCATGAATGGATATTGTTCTGCCACTGGCATAGCGAGATTATTGAAAGTAGAGCCGTCGAGAATAGGCTGGGAATCGGCTTGTTTTGATGACAGATCATTGGAATTGTTGCATAAGTTGGCAGTGTCGAATATACCATATGAATTAAATAGGTATTGGATGGTGGCATCAATTGGGAAATATTGATCATTGCTGTAACTTGTATCGGCAATAGTTATTGGTGTAGTATCAATAGTGGAAGGAGAAATAGTAGGAAAATTATTGACATAATGGTCTTCCTCATCAATTATAAAAGCGAGTCCTGTGTTGTTAAAGTCAGCTGGACACGGAACCGTAATTATATTATTACTGTTACTGTTGTTGTTGTTGTTGTTGTTGTCATAATCATTATTAGTTTCATTATCATCAATATTACTTATATTATTTATTAATGCTATAAAATTATTATTATCATTATTAGCATTATTATCATTATTATTGTTGTTGTTGTTATTATTATTATTAATATTAATATTATTATTAATATTATTATTAATATTAATATTATTATTATTATTATTATTAATATTATTATTATTATTATTATTATTATTATTATTAATATTATTAATATTATTAATATTATTATTATTATTATTATTATTATTATTATTATTATTATTATTATTATTATCATCTTCTTCATCATCAACATCAACATCATCATTACCATCGTCATCATCTTCGACTTCAATAACATCATTATTATTAGTTATATTATTATTCTCATCACTATTATTAATTGTAGTGGTAGGCGCGATGGAAGCGCAAGACAAATTTTGCTTTTTGTGTTTTTTATTAGTTTCAACTTTACTTTTTCTTGCACCCGGAGTATAAATTTTAAAGTCGTTATTCTTCTTCATGGGACGGTACGCATATTCCGGATGTTCGCTCTTATGTTTCTCTTTAATCTTCTCGGCGATATCTGCGAAAGGTTGTTTTTGTGGTGAAATTGCATCCTTCCAGGTTATACTTGCAAGAGTTGTAACTTTTTTCATATGTGATGACCAACTAATGTTATTTCTTTTCAATATCAAGGCTACATTTTTTCTGAAGACGAGAAATTGATTCGGCGGGCGTTTTACCCTGTTTTTTTTTGTTTGGGACGGCGAAAAGTCTTTGATTTTTACAACCTCTTCAAAAAAATCGAGGTGTTTAACATCATCATAGCTATTCATCTTTATTATTATTATGGTTGTTATTACTAACTGGTGACTTGTGAGTATGTTTGTATGTTGTTAGGATAAAAAAATAAATAATAAAATTTTGCAGTTCCCAACGAGAACATAAAGAAAAAAAGACTCTATATATATCTATATTTTTTATATACGAATTTTTTCGAATATACACGACATAGAAGCGATATATCATCGATTCCTGGATGTATGCGGTCTCCTGTGTAACATTGGACATTAAAAATACTCCGCGACTATGGACATTATAAATTCTAAATTAATTAATTCAAAACAATAATAAAAGTCATGTACATGTAGTATATTTTCTATATTTTCTGCACAATAATTAGTCTATTTCCTGGGAGAAAAAACCCACTAGAGACAGTTCCCTTTGTATTAATTCTCGCATTCTCGAATATGTATTCGAGAATTTTATATCTGATACAGGGTTCCATCTTGAAAGAAGACTTTTCTTTCAATACTCGTATATATCAATTTATATACATATAAAATTAGACGCCATCCTGAGACAAGGGGCAACCGAGGAAATTTAAACAATGTCAAGAAGCAAAGATCAACAATAAACAGCCCGAAAATCATTTCTTTTTTTTTCCATTGAAAGCTAGTCATACAAATAGCACAGTCCAGCCTCACTAAAAAAGAGCTTATAGAATTGACTATATGCATACAGTTATAACAGTTCTTCTGTTTAAATATCTTTTTTAAGTTGTTAAACCTATTATTTTATGCATACAATAATGACTGAAGTATCCTAATCCTAAAACCTACCGCCGCATATACCAAATGACCAGTCCCGTGTAATTAATTGATATTAATGGAAGGGACTTTTCTTTTTTTATAAATGAATATTTTATTCATTAGCTCGTCTTAATACATATGATAAAAATAATTAAAAATGATACATTTTAAATTTATTTAAGTTAAAATGATGTTCTAGAAATATTTTATTCATTAGCTTGTCTTAATACATATGATAAAAATGATACATTTTAAATTTATTTAAGTTAAAATAATGTTCTAGAAATTTATTCATTTTTGAGATAGCAGCCATACGAAGGGATTTAAAATAGCTGCGCTACTTCTCTAAGTTGGCGAAATCAAGGATAAATATGTTTACAATCAATCGTCTTCATTTCTCAAATAAAGATAATAGAAATGCAATCGATCGTTATTGGGATGTTTTTTTTTAAAATAAAATATACATGTAGATGGTGATGATAATATACATATCAATAGAACCGATCCGCAGATTAAACAGAAAGAAAGTAGCAGGTCAAGAAAAGTGTCAAGAGAAAAACTTCAGCCAAAGAGCACTTCACATCTATTCATTCATTAATTGCTATTTCAGTTCATTATCTTTATCATTCATTAATTTCTAAAAATATCAATAGGCGAATCAAGCAAATTTGAATTTAGTGAATTTATGTCTTCATGATATTATACCTATCAATTCTTTTAGCATGATAATTGTGATAACCTTGAACTGTTGTAATACGTTATGCATGTAACATCCGTGAATTTTGTTAAACGTTACTTTGCATTTGGGCGTTAGACGTAAACTTTGATTATTAATTCTTTTCAGTTAAAATAAAAATTTTTCATCATCATCATCATCATCACCATCATCATTTATTTTTAGAGAAAATGAACCATTTCAAGAAGAAATTGATCTTATGATAAACGTATTGTGGGACCTTAGAAGACGATAAACAATTCTTGAAACGATGAACAAATAATACCAATGATAAAAATATTTCATATTACGGATAGTTTTATTATATGTTTCATCCCCTTGCTTATATGGTCCTTAATCCTTTTACATAAACAAATAATATATATTTTAATTATCCAATTGCAACAAAAGCATGAAATTTTTATAACCATGTAAAGGTTGGCAAATTCTTTTTGCTCTTTTTGTTTGAAAGTGTCAATTATATGACGACATCGTCAGTTGTATGATATCGATACGTTCTCCATTTTTGGGTTGTTTCCCCATAGGTAAGAGATAAGAATAGCTTCGGGGATTGAGAAGGATAATGCAAAGAGAGTTTAGGTTTCATGTGTTTTTGAGGATAAGAAATCCCAGATAAAAAATTTCTTACAATTAAATGCCCAATAAAAAAAGATTGTCCTTAATAAGAAAATACACATTTTACACTTGACATATCCAGATTTGCATTGTTGCATTATCGTCATTGTTTCATTATCGAGTTATTTGTTGCATTTTAAAACGCTAAACATTAGGCAATCTGTATTGCATAAGATTTTCCGCGCATACAGCAAACCATTCTTTTGTTTTTTTTATCAATAGACTTTACGTTTTTTGGTTAATCATTATCATTATCGTTATTTCTTTTCCCATTTTTACAAGATACATTAGATTCTCATACAAAAATATCTTTATTAAAAATGAATAGGTTTTAATAACTACCAAAAAAAATATTCTACTATGAATAACATTTTTTTCCTCGATTGTTTCCTATTTTGTGTTTCAATGATGCATTTAATTTCCCCACACATCACCCAAATAAAATCTTATAGCCATTGTGGTGTGGCGTGTCAGGGTTAGATCAAAGTTTCCCTTAACGTTACAAGGTCGAAAAAGGTGAAACATTTTCTTCACATCATTGTGGCTTGTTAAGGAAATCGTTGACATACTAGGTAGTGTATATGATATTTAGTAGGTATACCGACCAACAATTAGGATATTAAAATTTTCATGATGATGCTTTTGCATGTCTATGATTTTTGTTTACGGTATGCATCTTCCAAAAAGTTGTCGGTATTAATGGTATGAGTAGGGTAATGAATAAGCCACGCGTTCGATGGGGATGTATCGCTTATCACATAGGTATTTGTTACGCCTTGTAAAAATTCTGTAGTTTGTTCGTAAAACGGAGGTACATGTGATTGATTTGGCGAAAACGGATTATTATTATTAAGGTTGGAAGACGAAACTGTAGGTGATGATGTCGTGGTTGACGTTGTTGATTGTTGAGTAGGTTGACCTGCAACCTGCTGCGAATTTAGTTGTGAAGGTGAAGTTGATGATGTTGTCGTTGAAGATGATGAGAAGGCGGAAGAGGATGGATTTTGTCGTAAACCCATTTTTCTAAATAATCGTTTGAATAATTCGTGATTTTTAGGCAACAAATGAAAGGGAACTTCTTATAATCTTTTAATCATAAAAAGAAGTAAAATTAAAACCTTCTACTTTGCTTTTCCCGCACTGGTATTTTATACTGGTCGGCCGATGAGTTTTATCAACATTAGATTTTCATTATATAAAACGTGTTACCAAATGTGTATGATATGGTCATGACAGTTGAAGTGGCGCATAATTTCTTAATTATCAAAACAACAGTCGCTCAAATTTTCTTACATGGATATATAAAAATAACCATATATTAATCGTAAGGAATTCAGATTCTCCGAATTAACTTGGCATAATAATCTAGTCATATTATGATCACGACACTACTTTATTAAATTAGATGATGCAACCAAGAACAAACATGTATGCACTGACAATTGACCCCACTACCCCAACTAGCATATACTGTACATATAGTTATCCGAAAAAGCGCGGTCGATTATTAAAGTTTCAGTTTGAAACAAACTTATTTTTAGTCGTAAAGTGGGCAATTACAATAAAAAAGTGTCAAAATGCATACATGTTGTGCGTCAGGTGTCGCTTCACGTGCCTCCTTTCGGCCAACCACATTTCTCATATTGTCCCAGGTGACATCTGACGCAAGGACTGATTTGAAAGTATGTATGTATACCTATATGTATTTTATGTGTAGGATAATTTATAAATAGTAACGTTGTTATCTTGTTTTGTTACTTGAAAACAAAAGAAGATTGATATATTTAACTTAAATTTTACCATATCGGATGTTACGTGTAATAAAATATCTGATAAAGATTGTTACTTTGTTTGGATAAAAAATTTCTTTTAATATACAAGGTTATTTTTAGATACTCTATATAAGAATAAATAAACCTTTTTGAATAGAGATTTCTCTATCTTTAGCTTTATCTAAGAATAGTGCATACTTAAATTTTAATACTTTGTATTAATTTAAAAGCTTTTAACTATAAAATTTTGGTTTTATGGTTATTTGTAAGCTAGCAACGAGAAAATATCCAAACTCCCTAATCATGTTGTTAATTCAAATCCTCATCTGATTCATGTGAAAAAGGCCAATTCTGATGGCGTTTATGGAAAAATTGATCAAATGATTCAAATTTGATCAGCAACATATTATATCACCAGGGAGTAATGTATTTTAAATTATCACATTTTGCATATTTTAGAAGACAGTATATAATATTGTTATTATAATATAAGGTTTTTCATATATTTATTCATGGTCATTTCAAGAAAAAATTGATTTTATTAATCAAGGGCGCTGTTTCATACTTATTTCATATTACAAATATTTTTGTTCGGAAGATTTCGGAGATATTGATAATATAACGATAAGTTTCACGACAGATTTATTTTTAGTCATCCCCCTCACTTATACTTGGGATCGGTATCATTAAGATTTTTTTTTGTTTCTTTAATCCTATTATGGCTCATAAAACAAATAATATATACTTTTTAATTATCCAACTACAATGTTCTGCATGAAATTTATAATTATGTAAAGTTGGGTAAAAGCTTTTTGTTCTTTTGTTAATTATATGACAGCGGCGCGACGCCATCAATATGATGATGATATCATATAAATTTCATTTTTAATTTGTTCTCCATTTTTGTATTGTCATTTAAACTGCGTGTCCGTGAGGTAAGAAAATTACATCGGGGATGAGGAGATAAGGTAAAGAGAGTGAGTTAAGTTTCAAGTTTTTTGGAAAAAATTTCTTATGTTTGTTATTAAGGAATTATTCTTTTTGTTAATATGGTTTTTTTGTATGTATGCCGATAAACATTACATCATTGGTGGTTGCATTAAGATTTCCCGCGCACTCGTAATCAAAATAATACGAGCAACAATCATTTCTTTTTGATTTTGATGTGGTTATCGTTGTTTCTTTTCACATTTTTACACGATACAGTTGATTCTCGCCCAAAAAAATTATCTTTATTAAAATAAATAGATTTAATAACTACAAAAAAATAAATTTATATAAAATTACATGTTTTTTTTTCCTCTATCATTGTTCCTTATTTTGTGTTTCAATAGATGTTCCCACAAGTCAAACTTAGAAAATAAAAATCTTTCTTAGTCATTTTAGGTACTTATGTTGAATGGGGGGGGATCGCTTAACGTTACAAGAAGTGCAATATCGATATGACTGTGGCGTGTATGCTTTTGTGTTGTATTGGTGAAAATCGTTGATATATTAAGTTAGGTGGTGTATAGTGTAGATGACATCCACGGGATTCGAACCTCCAATATATTTTCTTTGTCGCTATAATGTCGATGCTCTAACGGTTGCGTTACGATGCTTTCATCCATAATTCTTTTAATGATTATAATTATTTATAGTTCATCTTTTCAAAAGATAAATTTACTAGATAAATTATTATTTTTTTTTGATATTTTTAATCAGAATATTTTTTTTTTGATATTTTTAATCAGAATATTTTTTTTCTATACTTATTTTACCGTATGTAATTAATCAAAGTGTTTTTTTTGTTTATGCTATGCTGAGTTGCCCTTTATCTGTGTGGATCAATCATTTGAAAGCATCTTCCATAAAGTTGTCGGTGGTAGTAGTATGAGCAGGGTAATGAATAAGCCATGCGTTCGATGGGGATGTATCGCTTATCACAAAGGTATTTGTTACGCCTTGTTGGAACTCTGTAGTTTGTTCGTAAAATGGCGGTACGTGTGATTGATTTTGCGAAAACGGATTATTGTTGTTAAGGTTGGCAGACGAAATTGTGTGTGATGATGTCGTGGTTGACGTTGTTGATTGTTGAGTAGGTTGACCTGCAACCTGCTGCGAGTTTAGTTGTGACGGTGGCGTCGATGATGTTGACGTTGAAGGTGACGAGGATGAATTTTGGTGTGAATTCATTTTTCTGAATAAGTGTTTGAATTATTTTTGTGTTTTAAGCACGTAAAATTTGATATAAAGTATATATTTATCTTTAATACAATGTAAAAAGGAAAAATCGATACGTTTTGATATGTTTTCAAAAATTAGGTAGTAACGGGGCTCATATTTATATTTATTTTTTAGTGTAACGATAGGCATTAATAATTTACTGGCGCTGATCCAGCTTCTCCGATTAAAAATCGAATTTTCTTGGGAAATCAATTCATCCTAATCATGGTACTATCAGAAATCATGGTACTATCAAAAATCATGGTACTATCAGAAAATATTTTAAATGATCATTAATTTACTAAACTAGAAATAAATTATTAAATTAAAAAAAGAAACAATCATTGGGCAATGTATTTCGGAGTTTCGTGTAACGGATAATCCAAACTATATCGGTCAATTTTTTTTCAGTTTTGAAATTTCTGGCTCTTCGCATGATCATAAAGTGGCAAAATACATACAACTATGTACGTGTGTACCGATATGTTATTTCGTTTCTATCGCTATAGGTAAGTTTAAATTTCACGTGGTCAATGCGTAGGAGATCTTCATAATATTATAATTAACGTCGTCATTACAAATAGGTTTTAGTTACCTAAAAGTAAGAGAGAGGATAGACATTGTAAATTTACACAATAAGCGCATGTTGCATTGGATGTTATATTAATAACAATAAAAATATTCGGCAGATAAAATATTCGGATATAAGAAATTTCTTGTGCCAAGAGATTTTTATCCAAGAATAATTATACTCAACATTACTTAAATTTAATACTATGAAGTTATATCGATGGATTAATTTAAAAGTTTTAATATCATATGTTTCAAATTTTTTAAATTATCACTCGGAATGTATTGTTGATGTTCTAGCACAAATCGGTTCATGCGATGGAATCAGGATAAGCGAAAGTAGATTGTATGCTTTCTAAAAAAAGACTTTAAAAAATAATGAATATAATATTTGCGCCAAAGTTTTTCCTGTTAACACCTGTTCGTTCGAATGACCAATATCGTTGATCACATGTCGTTATCAATTTGTTGAACCACAACAGATTATTCCGTTGATAAAAATCCCTGTTTATTGTGCACATTTACAAGCGGGTGTTTAGGATTGTGTTTTTCCTTTATTGCCCCGAATTTACGACACGTTAAAATACATACGTAGTTTCATAAATGGAATCTTGAATTTTAAAAAAAGAAATAAAAAAGATAATATTAGTAAGTAGCTTAAATTTATATATAAAAAGCAAAGATAAGAAAAAATTTATATATCGATAACATAATTTTTGTGTAATTTATTTCGAATTAAATTTTTGTCATGTTACTGTTGCGGAAGAGTCGTATTTTGAGGTTTTCCATTTTGGGTTTTTGTCATTTTGCATGAGATTATAAAGTTAGCATTTAATTGGGTACTTTTTTATTTTTATTCAAGCTAATTAAAGAACTCAATAAAATAGATTTTTTAATGTTATCTGATCAATTTGGACCTCGATTAATAAGGATAAGTCGTCTTTATTCGTAATGAGGCGAGGTTTTTTCTTGAATCGGCAATAAAGGATTTCACTTAAAGCATCAGTTGAATGCGTTCATAAAAAGAAACAAAAGAAAATGGGTTTCTTTTGTTTACTCATCATCATTTCAAAAAGAAAATTGATTTTATGATAAAAGGATGACGGAATAGCTGTGCCGTTTCATGTTTATTTTAAGAAGATGACGAACGAATAATTTGAACGATAAAATATTCACATTACATATATTTTTGTTCTGAGTATGCAGGGAAAGACAAAATTTTGATAATAACAACAATATATATAAGTTTCACTACAGCTTTTATTAAGTCATCACTCACTTATACTCGGCTTTGTAAGTTTTCGATCTTACGAAATTTCCCTTACAAACAAGTAATTATATTTTTTTAATTATAAAACTACGTAATTATATTATTCTTTTAATTATAAAACTACGCATTAGATTAATATGACATTATTATGTATGCCTCGTATGATTTTATTCTCTTGTTTTCCATTTTTAGAATTCATTCGTACTTAAGCCACGGGGAGAAAAATAAAAACATAACTTTCGAGGATGGAAGAGATTATGCAGTGAGTGATAAAAAAAAGGCATGTACACATTACAAAAACAAATATGTCCTTTTTTGCATCTTTCATCGTGCGTATTTGTATGATTGCACTAGTTTCCATATTGATATATTATTGTTATAGTAATTAAATACAAGCACACCGTTTTTATTATTTGATTTGGAAACTTTCGTCAATAAAAATTTTTATTATCGTCCAAATAAATTTTTTTTTACTAATAAGGAATAGTGTCAATTTTTCAATAGCTTATTTTAATCTTAGTGTCTGGCATAGTACAATAATTAATAAATGAATCTTAGCATTGTTTTGTATTCTTTCGAGCGAAATCGTTGACATATTAGATAGAATGCATGTCAAAAAAAAAAATACAGTGATAGATGAATAAATGGTGTCGCCCAGAAATGCTTTTTGTTGCATAGAAACTTATGGTATATTATAAGTTCTTTAAGGCGTGTAAATCAGATATTGTAAGAAGCTTGCAAAAAATTCTTTGTGTTAATAGTATGGTTAAGGTTATGAATAAGTCGTGCATTCGATACGGAGGTATCGCTTATTATATAGGTACTTGTTACGCCTTCTAGGAATTCTGTTGTTGATTCGTAAACCGGGTTGATATGCGGTTGTTCCTGTGAAAATGGATTGTAATTGTTGAGAATGGAAGGTAAAACTGCATTGATTGATGTCGGTATAGTTAACGTTGATGATTGGTGCGTATTTTGTGCTGTAATTTGTTGCTGCCGATTTATTTGAGATCGTGGTTGAGGTTGAGTTGTGGACGATGTTATTGAAGGTGATGTGGAGTAAACTGAATCTTGTTGCGAGATCATTTCTTTTGAACGTGCGCTTTCGTGAATTCGTGTTTTTTGGTAATAAAGGAAACGCCAATTGCAATTAGATACGAAAAATTAATTATATTTTGTTAAAACTGGTCAAGTTTAATTGTCCTCGTATTTATATTTAACTGCTTTCTCTGATAACAATGCACGTCTCTATTAAATCATAATTAGTTATTCGGCAGGCAGTGCCGAATAACTGTAGTATCGTGAAAACGCAATTTGATCGGTTGATTTTGCCCAGAATCACTGATCAAATTGCGTTTGCACAATACGTAAGTCACCTTTAAGGGGTGAAGTTATCCAGTATCAAATGGATCACACACGAAATATCTTGGTATTCAAATCATATTGCCGAATACATATGATATTTCGTGTGTGATTCATTATAAAATTTATGCATTATTTATTAAATAACAAATGATAATTTGCACACTTTTGTTGTTCTTATTTTCTAAAAGAGCGGCCGAGAATCTTTTATCATGTTGTATAAGGTTGTATGGGCGTAACTGCTCTCGTTCGGTAAAACGGAAAAACCAATTGTTTATATGCAAATGTGTGTATACTTCAATAAATTTGTTATTCTTTGTGATAGGAAATTGACAGCGTGTTAATGAGAATATGTAATACGTAATTGTTATATCTAAAATACTTAAAGTCGATTTTGCACGCTTAAAAATTACTTAACACAACCAATCAGCAATCATTGGTTTTACTGTGTGACATTGTATTCAAAACGATTTTATGCAGGGTTTGATTATCTCCATTCAGATGTAACGGTAAGAGATTCTTTTATATAAAATCAAATATGGAAATTTGTCAATAGACTATACAAAGACCAATGTTAAACTAAATGTGTTCCAATATTTTGGCCGCGTTTTTTCTTCTCCAAAAAACTATTTCACCAGAAAATTCGATTCTATAAATAGAATTAATAATTTAAAAATGAAAATTAATTGGTTCAAAAATGATATTATCGCACCGACCCTAACCCTTTTTTACTAATTAAATTAATTTGGTAAAATGTAAAAACCTTGGATGGTCTATGCGGCGAATATCGGGTTAAGGATTAAGATTATATTGCACATAAAATATAGTAAAAATTTCGTAAGGAACAATTTTATTAGAATACTGAAAGTTGCTTCACATAAAAATTTTCGAGATACAAGCTATTTTCTTGACATTCATCTATATATTCTTTTAACATGTCGGGTTAATGTCATTCCGATATACAGTATATTATTAGTATTATTTTATGTAGGAAAGTCAGATTGTTTTGTGTAACTTAAGTTAAACCCCCCCCCCCCCATTGCCCCAACAGTTTTGTTATCACTTCAGAAAGTGACAAATTTTCTATGTTTCATAATGGTGGCGAGAAAACTGACATAGTTGTTTGTTTCTTTATGTACGTGTTTATTTTAAATTTATTTTTATAAATAACGATAATGAAGATCTATCTTATACCCGATACGCATTGACCTCCTACTTGGGGAAGATGTGATATGATGTAGATTATTTTGTTTGTGATTATGGTATAGCGATAGGATACACGTACCACAAAAAGAACTTGTACATCATCAATGGGATAAAAAATATGTTTAACTTTTTTTTTATTATTTAAAACAAAGTAATTTAGGAAGGATTGGATTCCTGCTTTTGTTAGCTTGCGCAAAATATTTCATTCAAGATTATTTTTTAGATATTCTATATATGAAATAAAATCAAAGCAATACGTGTCCTCAAACATTCGATATTTTATTTGAGCCGATTTTTGACAATACACCGATACAGTTGAAAATACAGTACTTTACATTTTTTATGGTTTTTTATGAATTAACTTTTTTAGATCGAACAGAACAGAACAGAACTAACTTCTACCAAAAAAAGATAAGTTTTTAGAAATAGTGTCCTTGAAATAATCTAAGAAGGTATTCTTAACTTAATGTCTATAATACTTGATCATGTCTATTGGAGGAAAAGGTGACTGAAGAATTTCTTGCCCTGGCCACAGATATTGAAGGTCCATTAATTCAATAAGCTCACTCGGGTCGTATTGTGATTCAGAAGTGCAAAACATCTCATGTGATGAAAACATCTCATGTGATGAAAACAGGTTTGACGAAACAGGCGAAGATAAATATGTTGATAACGATGGCGAAGGTGAAAATGTTAATAATGACGACGACGAATTAGGCGAATGTGTTAGCGACGGCGACGAATTAGACGAAGGTGTTAACGATGACGACGAATTAGGCGAAGGTGATAACGACGCCGACGACGAATTAGGCGAAAATAAAAACGGTAATAACAACGGCGATGAATTAGACGAAGGTAAAAACGTTGATAACGATGACGACGAATTAGAAGATGGACTTGAACTGCTTTCTTTTGGGCTGCGAAAACTAGTTTGTGATGAATTTTTTCCGGTTTTTCCCTTTATAGTAGTGGTGTTATGTTTATAATTGTTTGCATCCAGATTTTTCCAATTAGCTTTGGCGCGATTAGGTTTGAATGTATAATAAGGATTGAATTTTTTGTGTTTTTTGGAAACATCCTTCGAAAGCTTCTTATATTGATTCTTTTCCTCAACAGACGCCTGCATCCATAACTTTGAAGTAACCACCGACCAATAACGCTGATCTTGATTTGAAATTCCCACAACTTTTGCACGCATGTTAGCTACTTTACGAAACAGAATGTAGCAGTTTGGAGGCCTTTTAATTTCTCCTTCTGTTCCCTTTAAAAATTCGTCGCCATTTCCGTCGTATAATTCATCACAAGTGACTGGAATCGGAAATAATTTAAGTTTATCTCGAAAAGAAGCAATGTCTGAACCAGAAACTATTGTGTCATTATCACCAAGATTAGTTTCATCTTGACGATTGCTGTTTTTTGCTGGTCTACTTGATATCATCATTTGTCAAATTCGCTTGAAAACTGTTAAAAAACTAGTAAATTTTATGCTATTCACGACCAGAGTGAATTATTCAGCAAAAAACTAATTTAACGTCCTATTTATAAAATATTGTATTTATATTATATAATAAGATAGTTAATGAACCATGTATAATGAGTGATGAACGTTTTTGTACCACATATTTATTACAATGAAATCTAGTAATCAAAGGCATTTTTGAATCGCAGATGATTTGTAATGGACAAAAAGATATAGAATAGAGACTTTAGAATGGAACAAATAATAATATGTATTATAAAAGAATTTTCTTAAGTCCGAGTTTATCGATTTGAGATCTTTTTACTATTTCGCTCCTTGATTCTTTCTTTTACGTATTGTCACAGGTAAAACTTCCGACACCCGAGTATGATTATGCAGTAAAGAATTAGTAATTCAGTATTTATAGTCCAAGTTCTTTTATTTCTTTTCTACAACGTTCTAGAAGATATATTCACGTACTTGATGTATTTGATAATTGGTTCTATATTTTTGCTTGGCATCATCAAGCTAAATTTTAACATTGGTTAGGACTATAAAATTCCGGCGGAGTTGACGTTGACCTTTCTTTCACGAATTTAGCATTTTGTTTCAGTTCAAAAAGCATGTGTTGTACTACATTGCCAAGCCACGCCGGAATTAGCAGAAAATCATTTTGTGTTCGCGTACTAGTACATATTTCATCATACAAATAAGGATTAAGAAAAGTCCGCCTATATTTCATTTATGCACCAAATATTTATGTCGGAAGGTTAGAATATTGGCGTAGTTTTTTCTTTCAATTTTTTCTTTTAACACAATAAAATTAAAGTGTAAAGGTAACTTCGTTGATTATCTGATTCCTCTCACAAATTGTGAAATTATGAAAGAAGTCTAATGATTCCTTTCGGACTTGACACTTGCGCGTGAGTTCAATAGAAGCGCTCCACGAATTCTTGTTCGAAAAAATTTCGGAACCAATACCATTGGCTTTTTTGAGAATACTTTATTATTAATCTACCTTTCATTGAAGCAATATCGATATCTTGACGTTAATTTAATTTTAATTATGCTAACTACAACCAACCAATGAATAAAAATGGGGAATCATGTAATCCTATCGATATGCACGTAATTAAATTTGATAACACAAACATTTGAATAGATCTTTTTCGTATTGTTTCTATTGTTGCATTATGGTTTATCGTTTTACTCTTTATAGACATAGTAATGAATTAACAATGACAACAGATTCGTCATCATAGGTCATAGGTGAACTCGATTTTTTTTATAAACTTTTTTTTATATGTAGCGTGAATCTATACAAACGATTTGCAATCCCACATGGTTACCCAAAATTAATTAAATTTTTCGAGTTGTTTTTCCTCCGTAAGGAGAATGAAAAGGAGAATAGTAAACACGTATGTGATTCCTGCATTCCAATAATAAAATTTATGCTGAATGTACAAGATAGGAATTTAGCGATAAACGTTTTTACGATGTACTTGTGGGGAATATGCGCGAAAATGCAAAGTCGAAGCAAACAATCAAAAATACATGTACACTATAGCGGTCGGAGAAACTATATTTAATTGGCACATACGTCAAGAAAAAACAATATTCCGTTGCAACATCCTGCAAGATCCTGCAAGAATTGAATTTCAGAATTCATTTAAGATCCTTTCAAGACGAACAATATCTCATAATTCGGATATAAGTTATTTTACTATACAGTTACCCCTCTATATAGTCACATCTGTTTTATCGGTCACTCAATTTGACTTTACAAAACCCAGATTATGCAGATCAAATGCGTTATCCGATGGAAAATCTTTTTTCCGCATTATAAACAGCTTTGCCACACGGTTTTGTTGTATGGCCCAAATTTAGAATGGACTAAAATTAGAGTTAGGGGTTAGTGCCGGGAAAATTAATTTTGGCCGAAGGGGATTCACGTGAATCGACATCGGAGGTCTATCAGTGACATATAATGTCCGTACAGTGGCGGGACAATGAAAATCTTCAAAATTTTGAAGTACCCTAGCCACGGCGAAATACATGATGACGAGCATATCTGACCAATGAGAAGTGCAAAAACTAACAGCTATCAGTTGGAAAAACAAATCTTTTATCCGTTTTCTAATCCTAATTCTAAATGCATATACTTAATATTAACATATCACGTGCAGTAACTTGGCTATTTTATTATTAAACAAACGAATCATGTGATCTGTAATACATAACATGAATGTCAAGATTATATAAAATAAATTTTTATAAATCATACAAAATATATAGATTATGATTAAGAATAAAGTTGAGATAATTATATATAAAATTATCTCATATTATTTTATAAATTACTAGAAAAAATTTACATGTTCTTATTGGCTAATTAATAAAAATATAAATAAAAAATTAATAAATATCAGGTAAAATTTAAAATTTTTATCTATTATAGATAAATTAAAGATGAAAATTTTGTATAATTTTGATTTTTTATAACTTGTAAATAACTTATTTTAATATGAATTATATTATATAATAAAAAATTTCTAATTATTGATAATTATTATAAGACTTTGCTATTAATATTTTGAATTAAGTAATCTAATTAATTAGAATTAAGATTCTAATCAATTAAAATACTTAATTTAAGCTTAATTCGAAATATTATTTAGAATTTTCATTATTTTAAGCTTAATATCTCAAGCTTTAAAATAAAAATTATTATAAGAATTATTATTTAATTTATTAAAATCTAGAAATTAAATAATGAGCTTTATATATAAATTTTATTACTAAATTTGATATTAAGCTCTAAAAATTATTTTGTAAATTATTTAATACATAATCTCTTTAAAGCTCAATATATAGCATTTTTTTTAATAATAAAACTTAAATAAATTAATATATCTTATATTAATAATTAAAAATAAGATAACAAAAAATTAAATTTATTAGAATTACAAATTTTAATAAATTTATATAAATTTATAAACTAAATTTAATTTTAACTATCTAATTATCAATAATATCTTTGTTATCAACTTTGTCAATTTTATCAAACTAGTATTATATAGAAGTATAAAGTCAAATTCAGAAAACTTATTAGTTAATAAATATTATAATAAATTATAATTTTATTAATATTTTAAAATTAATTAATTAATATAAGTTTTAATATTAATATAATTATATAATTTATATAAAATATATATTATATTTTTTCAAATAAATAATATAATATTATATAAAATTATAAGATAATTAAATTTTATTTATCTTTTTATATTTATATAATATTATAATTATTTAATAAATAAATCAAAATAAAAAAATTCTATATTATATCTGTAATTTTCTTGTTATATAATATATTTTAACAAGATATTTATATAAAAAATCAAGTTAAAAATGAATATATTAATGAAAAATTTATATAAAAAATCAAGTTAAAGAGTTTTGACAAGTGATTTATATAAAAAATCAAATCAAAAAGTAATAGAATTTAATAAGAAATTCATAGAAAAAATTAAGTTAAAGCATATAATTTTATAAGCTTATATTTATTTTATTAATATTAAAATAATTATTAAAATTATAAAATAAAATAAATTATTTTTAAATAATAATTTAATAATATTATACAAACTATTAATATATAATTACTTAAATAAAAATAAAATTAATATTTTTGAAAGATGCTTATTATTAATTAAATATAAAAAATAAAAAAATATAAATAAAAATAATAAAAATAGTAAATAAATAACTAAATATATCAAACAAGAATGAAAAGAAATTCTAATTAGAAAACTAATTAATAATTATATTATTAAGATAATTATACAATATAATATTCTTGATATAATATAATATATAATATAATAGCTATAGCTTAGTAATTTATAAACTTAGAATAAGATTTATTTTAATATTAAATAAAGAGCTAAAATTATTTTTTGCTTAATAATAAATATATTATAAGAGAAATTACTAATATTAATTTATTTATAGTTTTTTATATAAAAAAGATGGTATAAAAATAATATTTTTCAAAATACAAATAAAATTAATTATTTAAATTTATTAAATAAAATAACAAGAAAGATAAGATATTTATTTTATTAACTCATATAATTATTTCACTATTACTCAAATTAAAATTATATATATAAAGCTAAAATTTCAGAGCATACTATTTATTATATACTTTAAAATAATATTTGATAGCAAGAATTAAAGAAAAAAGTCTATTTAAAGACAAAATATATATAATATTATCTTTTAATTTGTAAAAAATATGAATGAGAACTGATCAAAAATTATATGATCTGATAAATCCAAATTTAAGATTTTGAATCAGATAAACATGAATACTATTGGAAAAGATCAGGTGAATTATTAAATAGCTTATATATTAAGTTTATCAAATTTAATAGTGATAAAGTAATGATATGAGATTGCTTTAGTTTTTGTGATCTTGAAAATTTTTGTAAAATTGATAAGATATTGAATGTCACATTATATCAACAAATTCTTGTGGATGAGTTTCTAAATACTGTTAAGAAATAAGGGATTTACTATCAATATTATTATTTTTCAATAGGATAATAATCTTAAACATATTGCAATAAATACAAAATGTTGATTTGTCAATAATAATGTGTATATTTTGGCAATCACTGGATTTAATTCCAATCGAGTATTTGTGATTGTTGTTTACTGTGTCTTCCCGGATCAACTTCAAGTAAAAAGGATTTGTAGAGCAAAATACAACAAGTATGAGAAGAGATCAATGTGAATTATTATTCAAATTTAGTTTGTTCTATGCCGGAACGAATTTATGATGTAATAAAAGTTCAAAGAAACTATATGAGATGGTAGAGAAATGTTTTATTTCTATTATTTATAAAAAAAATTGTATCGAAGTGTAATAGTTTATTTTTATTTTATGTTGCATAATGTATGCTCAAAAAGAGCAAAGTAATGCAATGACAAATTTTGGATAAATGCTATATATAAAATAATCAGTGTAATAATTTATATTATAATTATTAAATTTAAAATTTATCTATTATATTTTATCAAATCTATTGATTGTGATTTGATTGGCATAAAAATATTGCAATTTACGAATTTTTAAATTTTTTGTTGCATTATTTTTGAACGCCACTGTAGATTTGATTCTCGTCGCTGAATCTCGAGATCTTGAGCCACAAATAGACACGCATTAAATCGTTCAACAAAAAATCAAAATTCCACATACCGTCTTTTTGAGGCTTAATATCTCAAGATCCAGTGATGGAAATCGAGTGTAAAGCATACCGTTCAATTTTTTAATTTCTGATGAATCAAATGGCAGGCTTCGCAATCGATTCCTGCCACTGGGTCTCAAGATATTGAGCCCAAATGAGACAATACATGAAATTATTCATGGTGATAAATAGCAAAGCACTGTAATGATTGTAAACATCCGGTAATTTCCTATCACGTGAACTAATCCACGGTGGAAATAGGGTTTATTATTTGATAAATAATTTTTACAAAAGAATTTTTTGTATTATCATTATTTATTTTGACTATCAACCATGGCAAAAAATTCAAAACAAATATTTTAAAAAATAGCTTACCGTATAGTGCTTACTACAGTACCCCCTAGTAAAATCCCTTGTATAGTATGGAAATATTGTTCAACTCCGACTGAAGATATTTTTGAAACGTATCCTGGTACTAATCATTCCAACCAATCAGGTCAATACGTAATATGCTATTTTTAAATGGAACGATTTTAGTGATCATTAAATTTTTTAAATATTCTTTAACAATACTTTTTTTAAGGGAGCCGATATGGCAAACATAATCCTGACAGATATATGCCTACAATTGAAATCCAGAACGTACGACATCCCGAAAGTATAGCATTCCCAATATCGCGCATTCATTTTGGGATTTCGTCATTCGGGAGGCCGTTCATTTGGAATTTCGATTATTCAGGGATGCCGTTTATTCAGGATTTCGTGTATCGGGCATATAAATGTCGAGATCGTGTTTGTTGAGATGTTGAATTTATAATTTAATTGGTAATCTAAAATCTGTCACCACCGGACTCTTCTCCCTCCATCTCTTTTTTATAGTATCTCCTCCTCACATAGTACCCCGGGTACTATGCAAAATTTTTTAAATACGACCGGGACTGTAGTAAGCATTATACGGTATATCTCGAAGTTTTTCTATGAAACTATTTTCTGTGTTCTAACAAAAATGTTCCTTGTGAAATGTCATTTTATATTTGCAAGTGCAATGCAATATAAACGTGTAAAATGTCGATTTCATGGATATACGACCAATTATGTCTGGCTTGGTTCAACAAGTATTATGTATGATTGAGATATATTAAAAACAAGCTTAGCTATGCAGACAGCAGAAGAAACTCTTATAGTTTCTTCTCAGCCAAAGATTGTTGAACAACTACATCAGCTGTGCATAACAGGGGAGAGTTTGAGATGGCATTTAAGGAGGGCCTAATAATTTCTTTGTTGAGTATCCCAATCATTTATTAATGTTTATTTGAATCACATGATCAAGAATATCAGTATTATTTTAACGAACATTGGAAAGACTTCTTTGTTGTACTCTTCCTCTTTCAACAATGGAACTGATAATGAACCTTCAGAACGTTATTATCTTTTGGATCATTTGATAAAGAAGAGGAATCTGAACTGAATGAATTTGATTATTATTTTAAATTATCACAACAAACTCTAACTGAAAAAAATAATCCTTTCCATTTGAGTGGCGAAGTGTAAATAAACTGAAATTTAATGACGTCTGCCTCATATATACCTGGTTAACATCTTTTTTCTGACGCTGGAAATCATTTAACTGCCAAACGAAATCGCTAGATCCGGATATGGTTAATTATCTTGAATTTTAAAACGCAGCATGTATCGATTCAATATTTTAATCTTTCAATAGTAATATAGAAGTGAGATAAATAATATTATAAATAAATAGCTCACCCACACCGATTTTCACGTGATTTTTCTAACACCGTTTTCTACTGCCGGAAAATTCATTAAATCCCATTCCAATAAGGGTGAACGAAATTTTTTGTCAATCACCAAACAAGTTCTTCACAAGATATGAAAACTGTGAAAATACAAATATTATGGACACTAATTAAAAATGTCGAGAAGTCAATTTTTACATGTACTTATTTCGACCTGGCCCAGACTTTTATATATCATTATCACGTGAAAGGAGTTGGTGAAGATGATTGGTCGAACAACATGGGACCATATGATATTACTCCTCAAATAACACACATTTGTTTGTGATGTTAAATTTGATAATTTTATTACATGTACTAATTTTTCTAAACTTTCGGCTAATTCTAAAACTTCTTCATCCTTTCCATAATTACTATTTATATTAATACCCTTTTGCCAAACTATATTAGCCACAAAATTTTCTTTCCCAAAAATTTCATCCAAAACTAGTTTAAAATGGATGTACAGCTTAACTACCATCTAATGACATAAAAATATATTTACTACATACTTGAGTTTGAAAATTAGAATTGATAGAAGCTATAATCCGAGCTCACCAGGGGTCGAACCTGGAATCTCCTGATTCGTAGTCAGGCGCCTTATCCATTTGGCCATGAGCCCTTAATTCTGTAATATGGATCAAGATAATTTAAAGCGAGCTAAACTCTTTAACATTACAAAGAACTGGTAAAAAAAAGCGGAATTAGAGTAAAAAATGAACCAAATATTCTTTTTTACACACATATTTAACAGTTGAATTTTCAGCACGTAATAAGTAATCAATTGTTTTTATGTTCAAATTCGATTTAATTGATACAGAAAGTAAATTCTACATAAAATACAATACATGTATATGTAATTTTAATACATTAAAAATTACCATTATTCGATCTCGAAGAAATTTACTATATGAATCATAATTTATATTCAAAAACTTGTAAATTTGCTTTCACGCATCTTATGGGTCTCTACTTTCAATACCCTCTCTAACTCATGGGTCTTTACCGTCTTTACTACCGTCTTTACCACCATCTTTACCGTCTTTACCACAGCAAGGAGTCGTTTTAGCTAAGGAAAAAAGAACACACAATCAATCAAAAATTTTAGAAATGAAAAATTAACTAAAGGTGAATAGTAAAAAATTTACGTGGACAAGTAGTTTTGGTTGTAGTGGTTGTAGTACAAGTAGTGGTCGTAGAAGTTGTAGTAGTCGTTGTTGGGATAGTGGTGTATGCAGTAGCAGAACATGTCTCATAAACAACGCTTGTGAATTTTTTAATTTTATATTCTGTGACCGTCTTACAACAAGAGACGGTGGACTTGACCCATTTAGTTATAGTTGTGCAAGGGGTCGTCTCGTGTTCTCCACCACGTTTTTTGAGTCCTTTCGCTTTGACTAACGTCACCATTAATGAGAATGTTATAAATGTCATAATGATTAATAGCGAATCTCACACAATCTAATAATGCTCCTCACCATTATTCGAGCCAAGAGAGCAAACGAGCAAAAGCGCGAAGATCAAAAAGACAACAAATGAATATTTCTTGTAAGAGGTAGTCATTTTGAGATGATTAAAAGAAAAATCTTCGTTACTTTAGAAAATTTTTGAGATTGTAGTTGGTTGAAACTGAGACCTTTTATAACACATCGCCATTCCCTCAATTTAATCTACATTATATTTTTAGTGACAATAATGATTGTTCTTTCGACCGACTATGAGATAGATAGTCAACAATAAAAATTGTCATTTCAAGGAAATGTCATTACCGTCGTAATTTTGCACTTTTATGGAAATTAACAACATTATGCATTAAACACAATATCACAATGAGTTTTCCAGAATAACTAGTGAATTAAACACAACTCTCATTAATTAACCAATAGAAATTTGATAATACAGTAAAAAGATCTGGGATTAAAATGTTGGGAAATGAGATAAAGTTAATATTTTTTTTAAAGTTGCCACTTTGAGTTTCATTCATCACACTATTCATAATGTAACTCAAAATCGTTCTAAAAATAAAGCCTATATAAAAGGTAACGGACCAAGAATAAAAAATTCTCAATTAATGAGCTTAAAAAAAGTTACTATCATATTTATGATATTTCTTATTAAAGTGCAGTACTCGAAAGATTTTGGGAATGATGTAATTAAACTTTATCGTTATTAAACTTTCAATACTTACAAAGGAAAATGTCATTGCATGCTTTTTATATTTCATAGTGCATGTGAGAAAATTTCGGGGGATGATGATTCAAAAAAGAATACTTTATTGTCTACTGTCTTGCACACGTATGTCTCTTTTTATTTTCTCAAAGAACATTCATGCAAATATCCGACTTTTGTCATTACGTAGAAAAAAGTGTTGGACGAATTATATTAATTACGAAATAACGACTACTTCAAGAACTAATGATATAAGCATCGTAGTATAATGCACATGGATAATAATAGACATCTGATGGTTTTTGAAAAGATCTTAGATTTTGGGAAATGGATCCTTTGTTGATTTAAAAGTATCCACCTAGAATTTCATTGCGCTGCTCATAATGCAGCCACATTATGTTACCTAAAATCGTAGCTAGAAATAAAGTTTATATGCACAGTGTGCCAAGGGATCAATATTGTAACTTTAATAAGAAAATATCATTAATATGATAGTAACTTAAGTGCAGTGCAGCGCAGTGCGCTACATTTTGAGAAAAATCGAAGGTTTTTTGGAATGATGTAATTATTAGATTTACAAAGGAAAATGGTGGTGTTGCATGCTTATATTTCATAGTGCATGTGAGAAAATATTTGGTCGACGATGTTTTAAAAAGAACACTTATTTGTCGACTGTCTTGCACGTGCATGTCTACTTTTAGTTTATCAGACAAGTATCTGGCATTTTGTTCATTTAGCCTTCCGTTGAAGAATTATGAAATAATGACTACTTCAAGAATCGATGGTATACGCTTTGTAAAATGTATACAGGTAAATATTAACTATAAATAATTGTAGGAGGTAATATATTGGGTTTTTTTGCAATACTATTGATACGAACAATCGTTGTATTCTTAGTTCTTACAGAATCTAACAGCAGTAATTAACTTTTTATCGATTCAAATAGATTTGAGTAATTAATACCTTGAAACGTATAATTTATGATAATTCAAGCAAATCATTGTGCCGATACTGTGTTTTATCACGTTACCTATCCCACGTCGTACTGAATACGTACCTGAATATATGTAGCTATGCTACATAATTAAGGCAATGCTCGGAGGAAAAATCTCCGCAATTTAAGTTCCTATTGAGACCTACACTCATCACCCCTAAACTCTTTTTTTCCACCCAAATTCCTCTTCATATTTTACTCGTATATGCTTCTGACACGAACGTTATAACCTTGTTAAATTCCTCTATCTTAAATATCAATCGTTTCCTGAACCTAACATGAGCCCAACTCATCATCTTTGAATTTCTTCTTCCTTGTAGACGTCGTGACATCCGTGTGCTATCAAATATTTACATCAAAAATACGAGCCAACCACAATGCAGCTTTTTTCCACCAGATTTTGAATGGATCTTCTAAATTCGTAGAGTTGAGCTTCTTTGCTGATACTCTAGTGATGCATGAATGTCAAGAGAAAGGCAGAGGCGCACAACATGGTTAATATCATTGTTGCTGACATTGCCATAGCCAAACTATGGGTGAATCTTGTGTGAGAAAAAGTTCAACATCAGGATCAATAGTTGTAATATGGATTTTTCCGCTTGGTTTTCGCGGATGAACTTTCTATACATTCATATAAGTGTTCAGTAGTTTGCTCTCATATATTAGCTTTGAATACATTGTGACTTCACTAGTGTCATTTGCTAACTGTGATTTGATTTTTGACATTCAAAAAGCGGTGGATTTGTCAAGCTCTTGTGGTCGCAATTATCGTTATATATTATCCTAGCCACGGAGAAAAAGTGTTAAATCATGTGATTTTTAAGAGGTAAACCAATCAAATTACAAGATAATGTGTAATAGAAAAATTCAAAACAAGCATTTACTTTTGAAAAATAGCCATAAATCACTTTCTGCATTCTAACTAAAGATATGGTTACAATTATATGAAACTTACCATAAATCTCCAAAATAACATCATATAATACTTCTTATCTTGCAATATTAATAAAAATTAATAACCATTTCGGTTAAAATTACGTTAGAGTTAGAGTCAGAGTTAAATATTCCATTTGCAAATATATAGTAAATTTCACAAGGAATTTTTTTATTAGAACACCGTTACACGTAATCTTACGATTTGATTGGTTTAACCCTTAAAAATCACATGTTTCATAATTTAACTTTTCACGTGATTTTATTCCAAATTTCAATTTCAATTTGTATATTTATAAATAAAAGATTTTATAAATAATTAAAATAGATTTCAAATCAATATTGAAATTTATAATTGATAATACCAAATTTAAAAGATAAATTAAAAATTTTAAGTTAATATAAAATATAAAATTAAATAATTTTTATAATAATTTATTTTTAATATAAATCATTAATATAAATAATAAATTTATTTTAAATATAAATAATAATTAATATTTTAAAATTTATATTTATAATAACTATAAATATATAAATATTTATATATATCTTTCTTTTTTTATTTATTTTATAATTTTTATTAAATAAATTTATCAATTAACTTTTTAATATTTTTAAAAATATTATTATATAATATTTAATAATTTTTTATTAAGATTCTTAGATAATTTTTAATTAATTTTAAGTTTATTATTAAAATAAAAGTTTATATTTTTTAAAAATTGATAAAATTAAGAATTAAATATATAAAATTTATTAAAAATATTAAAATAATATTCTAAATAAATCTTGTATTAATATATTAATTTAAATTTTTTATTAAATATTTTTATAATATTATTTAAAATAATATATATAATAAAAATATTAATATTTTTAATTTATAAATATAAATTGATATAAAAAGATTTATATCTCAGATAAATATTAATAAATTAATTTTTTAAATTAAAATTTTAATTCAATCTTATTTAATTAAGTTATTAAATATTAAAATTTATTTATATATAAAATATTTATTTTATATTTTTTATAAAAATTTTTTACTAAAATAACTTTTTTAAATTATTATTTCTTAAATTTATTATATAAAATTTGATTAAAATTAATATAAAAATTATATAATAAATAATTTAATTATTAAACTTTGAATCTTA